GCTGAGATAATGGCCTTAACCAGCAGTAAACAGGTTTGCTATGTCACCGCACAACTGCTTGAAAGAAGTGGCTCCAAAACTGTGAAAGAACAATTAAAATGACAGTTAGTTTATGGTGATCATGCTGATTGTGTGGTGAAAAAACATGGGACATGTCTTGCTGACTAAGTGCAAAAGAGAATGTCAAGTTTTCAACACTCAGCTGGTCCAGGCAGCAGCACTTGAACGTCATAAAAGCAGTGAGCTAGAAATTCTAGTTGGTCAGTGTGTATTGCTGCAGTGAGGGTCCTCAGTCTCTGCGAAAGAAAATCCATAAATACATTACAAGGCTACAACTGGTTTGTGTATTGCTTTATCAGAGCTTTCTTTGAGATCTATTACCTGCCAAGGCATTTAATGCTGCTTCACAGAAAAAGTGCTCTGGTTTAGCAGACAGCAGCAGAAGCTAATGACTAAAGACAAAGGGCAGCTAAATGAGAACCTATGGTTTTGGCTTAGATGCCTGCAAAATCATGACCTCATGGAACTGAGTTTCATCCTGACCGTCTGAATTTTTAAAGCACCATTAAGACCCAAAGAGGAGCAGGTTTCTACCATGTTACCTCAAGAGCTGCATGGTCCTGTAAGGAGATAATTGTAGCAAAAAAAGATGATACAGGCTGTGCCTTCCTGAAACTTGGTAAGTTAATGGGAGTCCTTAGAACCTAATGCTAATGATTAGCAGCCAGTAAGTAAGTGACCTTAGAATTACCTGTTCATTCCAGCTGGTGCCAGACAAAAACATAGCAATCATATTTTGATCAAGGCAGTTTTAAAAAAATATTGGATTTTCTTCAATACAATAATCCATAACTTCTATTTCTTCATTTGGTACAGGTCATTATAAAATTGAAACAGATTTTGAAAAGGCAAGTTAAAAGAAATCCCAAACCTTATATATGGGCGTATAATACATTTTTAAAGTTCTGGTACTTACTTAAAGTTCATGCAAACTTGAATTGATTACAGAGGTTGAATATTCGTTTTTGTTATTGAGAGAATAGCTTCCTTGTTAGGATACTATAGACAGTTTTAGTACATTAAAAGATAGGATCTATTGCTAATGTTAAGGAATTTGGAATACCAAAATGGTTTAGAGATGGATTTTATTAGACTTCAGAAATATTTCACTCCCATTATCTTTAAAAGATGCTCATTGCTGTCTTAAAGTAGTATTGAAATCCTGAGAGACTGGGACTATGGGGAAAGACTAAATAGTCTTTGCTTGCTAATGAGAGCTTGTTGCAGGACTGGCTGCTGCTAAATGACATCATTGATACTGCTGGGCTGATGTCTACATCACAAAAACAACCTTCCCAGCTGCTCTATAGTATCTTCTTGTTCTCAGATAATGCCTCTTGCTTAGGAATATAGTCAGCCAGGTTGTGCTGCACTTTGACCTATGGGCAGGTTTCAGAATTGGTTCCTTTCCAGTCTAGTGCCTTCCTCGAGTCCTAAATCTGCTCCTTTGTTGTCAGGTCTTCAAAGTTTTATAGCATTAGCTTCTATCCATGAAGTCACAGACATAAAGGGGAAAACATTTTGTGAGGCTTTTCCATGTAAAAGCTGGAGTGATCTTTGATAGCCTAAAATTGTGTAGGTTTTCTGTTTGCAAAATTAGACTGTATAGGTGAAGTACACTGGTGTACTTCAGTACTTCAGTGTAGAACTGGGAATTTCAGAACTTTATTTTTTATAAAGTTCTCTAAGACAATCCAGGACTCATGGGCGTGCTGTGGGGTACACATGAAAAATTACTTTAATCTCTCTAAGGAGCAGAACAATAATTATTTCCTCCCATTCACCATCCATTTTGACCCAGTTTTTGTTTGAGATTTCTCTTTATTGCACCCAAGAATGTGAAATGAAATTGTTGACACAAAGTCAATAATTTATTCACGTTACCCCACAATCTCCAACCACAGCAGGATCATTTTATGATCCTTTCTTCCCAGAAGTTACTTTGTAAAGTCCATTTAGCTCAGGCGTTCTGGTAAGATATGATGAATCCAGTAATAAATTCTGGCAGACTTCAACTCTTCAAGGCTAACTGCTTCTTTCTGTCAGCACTGTACTCTGATGGGCATTTTCATGCCACCCATTATCCCGGGACACTAAGGGAACACTTTCCAAGTGTGCTGTAGATAAATTCAGTGGTAAATGAGAAAAGGTACTGAGAAACTTTTATCTTGGATAATGTCTTTGATGCTTCACAGCCCTGATGCCATGTGCTATAAGAATTAACTTTCCACCTATTGAAAATCACCACATCTTGTTTATTTTACTGGATAAATGTGTTTGCCCTTTCTGTATGTTTCTCGTCAGATCACCTTATATTTATGAAGCTCCTCTGTTTATTTAGCAGCCGGAGCTTGTGCTATGAACTTTAATCACTGAACAGAAAACGGGCAGCGTTCCCAGTTACAGGAATCACTGAAAGGAAATTGCTTCATGTGAGAAATCTTCTTAGGCAACTTGGTCTGTGCTGCTGTGTCGTGCACCAGGCTCCTTCTGAAGTATTTTTCTGCCTTTCATCCATTGGTAGCTCTCTACAAAGTTGTGGAAAACCTTTGTACTGTAGGCAATTGTTAATCTTACAGCTCCAGCTGAATAGTTCTTTCAGGAAAAGCAAATGTGTTTCTTTACCAAATTCAGTGCTTGTTGGGACAGAGCGACAGTCTGTTCTCCTGAATGCAGGTTTGGGATTCTAGTAATTCCTGAAATCTAGTGCATGTGCTAAGTAAAACTTTTACTCTGATCTGAAGGAGGTCATTTGGCTTTACTGACTCACTGTCTCCTTTGTAATTAGTGAATGGGCAGAACCTGAAGCTTAACGTGTAATGCATGTTTCATGGGGAATTATTGGAAAACTACCACAAATTTGTGATTTCTGTGGGTTATTTTTGCTAATCTGGTTTCTTTAGGCTGATGTGGCAGAGAGCCAGCTGGGCAAGGCCCTTCTATAGCATTTTATCACCAGAAAAAAATCAGAAGTGTGTTCTATAAACTTCAGAATTGCGCAAAAGGTGACGTACGGCGAGGTAGGATTGCCCTGCAGATGTTATGGCAAACACTTTATGCAAACTATACACAGCATCCAGATGTCTAGGACAGCAAGACAAGCTATCTTCTTGCTGTAAACTGCTTCTGTACTCTCACTTTAATGTTTTAAACAAACAGATTAAGAAGTTCTACCCAGAAATTGTTTGACACAGGAAGGATTCATAGTTACTTAGTTGATTTGCTATACTAACATTAGTGTCTACTTTGTAGAGCAATACTCAACATGCAGCAGCTTGAATACTTTTCAAATAGAACTTGTTCTGGATTTTATTTTGTTTTATAATGTGCAGCAACGTTAATTTGCTTACAACAAACCTGTTCAGTGTGCCCTTTCGTGTCTGCTGTTGAGCAAAAAAGTGAAAGACCTGCAGATAAGTAGTCAGACAAAAGAAAGAAGAATGAAGAATTCAGGAATTAAAAATTAATGTAAGAAGAAAAAATTATTGCTATGATACCATTATTTAGTAAGGGCCTCATGTCCAGCAATGAAGGGATTAAAATGGGGGGGGGGGGGCGGGGAATGTCTTTTTTCTTTTTTTTTTTGAGTAAAAATGGGATGCCACTGGGATATGCACAGAATTTAACTGTGCATAACTTTTTCAGGAAGCTGTTGTTTCACCTTTCACAGATAAGGATATCAGCCAAGTGCAAGGGTTTGCCTGACAGCATTATGACTGGCTCTCCTTTGTGGAAGGCCAGGAAAATAGGTTAGCAGGAAGGAGCCTTTTAGCCTTTGGTCTGACCCTGGAACAATGCTTGGATGTGTGCTTTGAACTGCCACAAAAACTCTTTATCTGCTGTATCACTGCTCCCTTTCTCATGATACAAATGCTTAATTGAAAGACAGTGTTCTTCAGACAATAGATGAGGATGATTAAAAACTTAAGCAAAAATGAAACTCTGAGTCATTACAAAAAGCCTTTTACTGTCTGTCCGGTAAAGTATCAGGAGTATTTGTTTCTCTTACGGAGCAAGATATAAGATGATTCAATTACTCATACTGAAATATAATTTCTTGTCAAAGAATTAGAGGACCTAGGCTATTATTGCCCCTGTTTATTGTGCAGTTTTTAGTTTGCTTGGATGATTAAGAGCAGTTGAAGGATAAACTATTCAAAATATAATATCAAAAAAAATTGCTGTTTTCTGAACCATTGAGCACTGATTTTTTGATGAAATAGTAATTTCTTGTCTTTGAAACCCTTAAGCTCCTTTTCCTTTCTCCTTTGTTTGGCTTGGGGCAGTTTGGTTGGCTGGTTGGTTGGTGTTCAGGGTGGGGGGTTAATTAATTTAGAAGCTTTTTGTTTCTTACCTTAACTTTTCCATGAAGCTTGAGCTCTATTGCATAATTCTAAAGGGTCATTTGTTAATGTTGTTTTACCTTTTCAAGTTGTTTCTCTGGGCTAAGCTCAGATTTGTAATTACCTGTAGAGAGTTCCTGAAAGTCCTGAAGCAAGTGTAGCTGAGAGATCAGTTTGCTTCTTTCAAGATCTGTGTTGTTGAAAACTATCTGAGAAATAGTCACTTGGTCAAAACCAGTGGTTTTTGGTAAAATGTCTACATTTCTTGAATAAGAAGCTTTAAAACACCTTTCTTAGTCTGAATGACTTTCTGTCTTTTGCTTTGGAGATTATAGGGCTAATGCTAGAATGGAGAACTTTTGTTGTAGTTTCTTTTTATTCCATGTAAAGATTTTTTTTGAACGTGATGAATGAAGTGATAATGAAAGAGTTTAAATCATTGATTTCTAGCTGTTGTGCTGTGACTTTTAAAACAAAATATAGCAATATACCTCTACCCTACCCCCTTATTTTCTTTTGTTTTTTGAAGCCCCACTAATCAGGAAGCCTGCATGCCTAACGTCACTGTTTACCTATTTCATGTTTTTAATGCAACAGGGAAGAACATGCTTATGTTGAGAAATGCTGGAAGGATGTCCGAGTGGGGGACTTTGTGCAGCTGCGGTGTAACGAGACCATCCCAGCTGATATCCTACTGCTGTACTCCTCTGATCAGAATGGGATCTGTCACTTGGAAACTGCCAACCTCGACGGGGAGACCAACCTTAAACAACGACAAGTTGTGATGGGCTTCTCCAGCCAGGTAAGTCTGCTGAAAATGCAGTCTGTGTAGTGCAGCGTTGGTCTCGGCTTATCTGCCCACCAGCTCCAGCCATAAAGTGCAGCAGTCCTGACTGGCTGGTTGTGCTGATACAGCTATGACAGGGTTTTGCTGTTGCAGCTAATGCACTGTATGAAAAGGAGCAGTTTGTCCTAAAAGATTTTTGTTATACTGGCACAGGGATGGCTTTATAAATAGGAAGATTAGCTCATTTTAATTTGCAATTGTTCTTTGCAGCAAACTGCATCAGCAGATGCTTAAGAAACCACACACATTACCACCACCCCAGAGACCAGCAAGTCTTTTCTGTGTACAAGCCATTCATACACCACAGGTTGTTACAGCACATCCCACAGCAAAGCCACTACTACTGAGTGAATCATTCTTCCACGGAAATTGGAAGAGAGCTCATAGCCCCACCTCCAACGTGGCAGCAGGCTTCCTCATGGATTTTGCATCTCTGTTGCAACCGCTGTACCCTTGTTTGTTTGCTAGGCAGGTAGATGTACTAACTGCTCAACCAGGAACTGCTCTAAGGCACACTAAGTTGTAACGATATAATGGGATCTTTTATAGAAGTGTAGTAAGTAATTGAATAGGAACTCAAGGTAAGTTAAAATGTGAAAACTTAAATGAAAGTTATGTGTTTTACATCAGTTTCATTGTTAGTAGGCATCAGTTTGAATGCTTAAAACCACTATACATTTTTTTCCACAGGCTGTATCATTTCCCTTTTACAAACAGTTTACTGGAATAGTCTTGGCTCATGTTTGGCAAACCTGAAGTAAACAAGAAAATACAACTTAGAATTGTTACATTTTAAAATATCCTTTCAAACATAGCAGGGCAGTTTTTCAAATAACACAGAACAAGGCTAAGGAGCTGTAGTATGTGAAGAAGAATATTTTCTTCCATTGGAATCACTCCAGCAGACAAGAAATCCTAAAACCTGGCAGATAATTCTAGGAATTACATTCAATTTTTTATCCATTAGTAGCAGTGCCATTAGGAAGATCTTTTGGAGTTATTGGTGGGTCGGACACAGCTGCCAGTGAGCAGTCGGATTTATTAAACAAAAGTACACCATTTCCACGGCCAGTTGTGGTCAGGACTGGATTCCAGCTTTAGTTTCTCTTTGCTCAAGTGGAAATTACTTTGCACGCATAATTATGGACTTTCTCAGGTGGATGCCACAATACAAAGCATACCTTTTCCAGTGCCCTGCAATGATGACAAACCTGGCTTCATCAGTAAAAAAAATTAAAATGCTGCATTGTGTGTTTTTGCTTCTAGAGAAAACAATGTTCTACCATTAAACAAAATGAAACTTTTGCCTCGGTCATGTCCAATATGAGGAAGTCGTTCTTTAAATCAGAAAATTCCCCCATGCCAAATCGTGCTCCAGACTACCTATTCATGGTTATTTTCTTTAGACTTTGAGCTGTTATTTAGGTAAACTGTATGACCAGGAGTGTTTATACTTACAGAGTTTTGTTACGTTGGCAGAGTGGAATGCAGTTCTGACCGTGGTGATAGCCAGTGCTCAGGAAGGTCAAAGCTTAAATAGTCAACTCTGTTACTCTATCATTTTAATGTATTAGTGTAGGAAATACCTTGGCTGAAAAAAAAAAAAACAAACCAATGCCCTAAATATCGTACCTACAGGTTTTATTGTGCTAACTTCTTCCTTGTTCTTTGAGGTTGGTTTGGTCCTGCAACTTATGTGCTGTGTAAATTACTCAGAATTAATTGTGTCTATAAAGTATGAGTCTTTAAGGAGGGAGGGAGGAAAAGGAAACACATATGCACTGGGGTTAGTTATTTATTTCAGGATATGCTTAGGAGTATGGAATTCACCTACCTGAAAAAAGACTGAGAGGAAGGATTATACTTTTTTTTGTTCTCTTGAATTTTCAAATACAAAATTATTGTCATCAAAAGAAAAAAAAATTGGGAGAAAAATCATCCTTCTGTATCCTAGCTAGAAGCCTATTAGTTTTCTTCATTAATAATGAGTCCTCCAATTGCCTTTTGCATCTTCCTGTTCTCCTGTTGTACAAGTATTTCTAACACAATCAAGTATATACTGATTTTCCTGATGAGTTCACTGAGTTGAGTGAGATTCACCAGAGCTGAACAATATCGCTTTAAAGATACTTGAACAGCATTCAGCCACATGAGTCAGAAGGCATACAAAATACCATTATAGACATCAAGCTTTTATATTTCCTCTAACTTTCTGAATCAAACTCTCTACTTGCTTGTACTTAGATATTATACAAATATTAAATATATGTGTATTGCTCAGTGAAAAAAATAAGAACAGGACAGAGAAAATAAAATAAAAATTAAAATACTAAAACACAGTGGGAAAAAAAATGAGAATTGAGGAGTGGCAGTGTAAGGAAGATATAGAATCATAGAATCAACCAGGCTGTCCTGCAGTCTGGCAAGGTTTTGTGAATTCCAATGAAGAATTCCCAGGGTTTGCAGGTTCTAAAGGAATCTAATCTCCAGAAGTCCCTCTTGCTGTAGGAAAAGGTAGGGAGACACAACAGCAGATTTGATTTCCAGCTTTGCTAATGGGAGGAGTTTGGATTAAAGTGAGTTTCAGTTTTTTAAAATATTTTATGGTGCAGTAATAATGATTCTTTTTCACATTCCTCACCTCCTGTTTTTATTACATTTTCTTAATCTAAAATAAAAGTTCTCTGTATTTTTTCATTTAAGACAAAACACATTTATGTCAGTCAAGTATCTCTCAATCTCTCTGCTTTCCAGACTGCTTCATGTAGTCAAAATCCCAGGCCTGTTTCCTTGAACACAGGGGAAATCAAGCAAAATTGCACATCTCAGTTCAGTTCCAAACCCTTTTTGAGTGAACACTTGGCCTGAAAAGTTGTCTTGTTTTTTCTGTGCCAGTGGTTTGGTCTTATTCTGCTACCTTCCTCCTTTTGCTTTTGTTTGGGTTTTTTGGGTGGGTTTTGTTTGATGTTAGTCTTGCTTTTAGTATTATTGGAATGTAATAGTTTATTCAAATGTGTGAGCTCTTATTTTATGATCATACCACCCTGACCAGTAATAAAACTCTTCTAACATATTTTAAAGTTATGATAAATCCTGAAATTATTTTCATTTGAGTTTGCTTTTGGTTGAAGGTTGTTTTACTTTCATAATTAATTTGAACTATTTGTTACATTCTCTTTAAATGAAGACAGATGTTTTCACTAATTGGCATCTGTGATGTGTTGTCCAATGCACAGCATTTTCTGCATTTAATTTAACCAGTTGTTAATCCAAGAGAGGAAAATATCAGATCTTTAGTCAGCCCCTATGAAGCTTTGCTTCAGGCAAAATGAGCTAAGCTCTCTCTGCCTCTGGTAAGGGAAGTGCTGTAGCTTCCAACTATGATGGTGACATCTATTTAGCTGCTTTTAGTGTTTTCGCATTTCAAGTATGCATCATATTTGACACTAATTCTCACTGTGTTTCATCTTGCAGAATGCTTTGTTTGAACCCGAACTTTTCCAAAACACCATCATCTGTGAAATGCCTAACAATGATCTCAATAAATTCAAAGGGTACATGTAAGTATTTGTTATCCACAAATGTATTTTGTATCTAAACTTTAACATTTCTCTTGGAGGAACTGGGTGGAAGAATTATATTTTGCAGAAAATGATGAAATATCACTATTATCTATTCCTGGATTCAGAAGTCAATGTAAAATGTAGACTGGAATATGTGTTCTGAAGCAAGGCAGAGCAAAGGCTTGACAATGAATTTTCAGTTGTTTCATACACACTGCTGTCACAAAGCTTCAGCTCCTTTCAGAATTCACACATAAGCTCATTTATGTTTGACCTCTGCGGGTCAAAGTAGGCTAGATTTTAAATCTAAATCCTTCCCAAGGTTTCAGGGTATTCACCTGCATGGCTCTAGTTTCTTCATATTTACAGCTACAGGGAAAAGGTATCCAGGATCTAACAAACAAATCAGATTTACTTCTTACAGCTAGAAAAAGCAAGCAAACAAGCAAAATCCTACTGAACCAATGTGTTCGAGTGGTATCAAAAAGGTGTCTTTCACCATTTATGTGAGGATAAAGCTATATCCTCTCTTCCTTATGTTCTTTCTTCATTAAATAATTTTGACACAAGCATAATGGGGAAATCTCTGCTGACAAATTTGCAAATTCAGCAATTTTAAGGCCACTCCCTGACTATAAGGTATATTTGTATGGCATGGATCATGTCCTAAAATTCTCTGCCTTCTAATATGCAGCAGCTGTTCCCCAGGACCCTCTTCAGAGCAGCTGTTGGTCCACGCCGGTTCCCACACCACATCACAGAAATACCCACTGCCCCATACCAAATGCATGTCCCACATCATGCAAATAATTTAACTGTATGAACGTGTCACCATCCCTATCCATGCCTTGTTAAGGTTACTCGTAGCTAAACTAGGAACTAATGGCTCTAGAAGAATGCAATAAGTGATGCCTTGGTGTAGCTGCAAATGGACAGATCCTCTGACATGAGTAAACCAGGGGGTTATCACCTATTAGCACTGATTGTACTTATTCTGGTCAAGAGAATTTATGCCCTGCAAGTAAGATGCCTCTAATAGAAATGCCATTTCCCCTCTACTGTGATATCTTACAAGGGAAAAAGAGGTCAGATTTGTATTGATCGCTGGCTGTGGTTCCTGGCTTTGAGGACCACTGGGTATAACCTAAATTGAAGCAATCCTTCCAATTATCCTGCTGTAATATGGCACAGGAACACTGAGATTATAGAAATGTAGGTAATATGTCACAAGAAAACACACACAAATACATACCCTTAGGCCCCAGGACTGGTTTCAAGATCTTAAAATCTCTATTGAAAGTCTGTAACAGAAATCTCTTGTAAATGCCTATTATCTCGTCTGTTTGGTGGAATATGGAATTAGCTGCCTTTCTCTCCCTGCTTCAGGGGTAAATGGAAGAATTTGCCAGCAAAAATTACTTACTAACAGTTAGTGGAGCTTGTCTTTGGTCTGCTGTTATTTGAGCTATTTTGTAAACACAAATTACTTGGAGTAGGTTGCATTTTTCTCCAAGAACCCTTAATAAAATATTGAGGCTTTACTGGCTTGCAACAAAATAGCAGCAGTGCTCTCTCTGCTAAAAATTATAAGAAAGAACTTGGTGACATCCATCTGACATGTTTGGCCATAGCACATACTGCTCAGGGGGATGCAAGAAAAACTTCTACTAAATAAGTTCACCAAGGCTGAATCTACATTCCTTGAAAAACAGTTTTTGGGCATTATTGGGTTTTGGGAGGGGGGGGTTGCAATTCCACAAGCTGTAGGTTGTTGGCACCTAATCTGTTTCACATCTCTAGTTTGATATGTAATCATGTGCAGCTGCACATAGACATAGGGCTGTACATAGCCCTGAGGTAGCATCCAGCCTTGCTCTCCCTATAGGTGACACTGTAGTTTACTGGTATATGCAGTGCCAAATATGAAATAGAAAGTAGCAAAAGATACGTATTTTAGAAAAAAATATAAATTCTGATGTTGATATTTACATGACAAAACCAGATAAAGTGACTGAAGTGAAAAATCTCTAAGGAGCCTATCAGAGTATATAATAAAAACTGTGAGCAAAAGTAGGTTTATGCTTTTGTTTGCATAAGCAAGTAAGAGATTACCTGCCTGATGCAGCACTCTCCTTATAATTCCCATTAAGTTTTCATCTGTCTATCCTGCTGTCAGGAGGATCTGGTGTGTGATGGGACATCTACAGCCAGGACAAAAAGTCTTCCATCCAGTGTGAAAGTGAGGAAAAGAGCCTCAGCCTAGAGACTGCTCAAGTGAAGCTCGCAAAGAGGAGAAGCCCTTTGGTGGCTGACAGAGAGTCAGAGGCTCTTGCAGGGTGCAATGTATTTGTTTGAACCTCCAACAGCAGGCAAACCCTGTTTAGCTTTCTAAAAGAACTTAATTTGAATGACAGAGCTTCATGTATCTTGGCTTCCTTTATGAGGTGCTCAATCTGCCAGATAAAGTACCAGTTGAAAGCCGAACTTGATTCCTATTGACATCATGACATGCACACCATGTGAACAGTATTGGGGTCCTTACTGAAGCTGAGTGATATACAAACAAAATAGGACCTTCACAGTTCCTTGGTTTCAACTTAAAACAGACATGCACACAAAAATTTTGTTTAATTCAGTATTAGAACAGAAAAAAGCATCATTTTGTTCTCCTTTATTTCTTCTAGGGAACAACCAAATCATGAACGGGTTGGTTTTAACATTGAAAGTCTCTTGCTTCGTGGATGTACAATCAGAAATACTGAGGCTGCAGTAGGAATTGTTATATATGCAGGTAAGATGTACTGTCTATTTAGTTAAACATAGAATTTCCCTGTAAATATCTTTAAGTAAATAAGTGTAGTCTAATATTGCACAACAGTTTGGCACTTTAAGAACTAGTTGTGCATGGGAAAATTATGCAACTTCTTGAAGTAAAGATATTACCATCCATCTCCAAAGTCAGCAAGTCCTGAGCTGAGTCTATAGCAAGTGACAGCATCCTTGTGTATGTCAGATATTTTGCTCTTTGTGCAATACCTTGCAAAAATACCCCGACAAGTGAATTGCTAAGGTGAGTTTAACTCTCAGCTCTGCAGCTCTGATTAGAATACTAATTCCATCTGGCATAAAACCTACACGGCTGCCCTAAGGGAGGTCTCACTGGCTCCTCAGGGTAGACAGTGGTGCAGCTGAAGATCTACGCAGGAAAATAAAAGATCATCGCAAAGCCAAGCGTGCCAGTGCCAGCGCACAGGCGGCAGTGAGAGCAGCAGCTGCAGGTAACAGAGGATGCAGCAGCAGCACAGGTTTGTGCTGACATAGATTTAGTGTGTGTATGCAACCATGAATCTCACTCAGCAGATGTGTGAACTAAGCAAGACAGCATCAGTACCCAGATCAAGTGCAGCAGTGCCATGTTCAGCAGAGGGTCGGTCCATCTTTTTCTCAGTGTCTTTTACCTTTGCAGTGTTACCACTGCTTTTACTCAGTGAGCATGATTTATCATTGACTTTGCCAGCTGTTCCCTCTTCTGCTTCAGATAGAGTGTATCAGCTATGCTCTTTACTTGTAGATTAAATAAAAGTCAGTTTACACACAACAATTTATCCCATTATTGGTTATCTTTATCTTCCCAGTAGTCATGTCACCTGTTTTGTGTCTAATCAGCAGCAAAGAGTTCAAGGCTAAGGCAACTAAGAGAAAAATCACCATCTCTGCAAGAGTCACTTATCTGAGACTGATCTCCACAATCCAGATTATTTTACCTGACAACTGCCCATTTTTCTTCACTATTGCAGACATGGACTCTGAATGTCCAGAGCTCCCATATGTTTCTAAAGCAGCCTTCACTTTGTGAATCTTTCATTGCCTGTCTCTTTGGACACCACATATAGGGATGGTGCCTACCAGATAGAGGAGGAAAGCCAGAGCCAAATTCATCACTCATTTTTTTTGCTGTAACTACTATATAAAAATCTCTGTAGGGATCATTCCCTACACAGTTGGAGTAACTTGTCTTCCCTTCTCCTGACTGAATTTCTATTTTATTTCTCTTTAGTCAACCTTTCCCAGTACACTCCTTTGACTAGCAGCACAGATCCTAATGTGGATCTCTGTTAATGTTGCTTAAAATGCTAGTAGCAAAGGTTGGAGTTTTAAAGTCATTCTCAAGGTAAGGGTGTCTTTGATCTGAGTAAGTGTTCAGTTTCCAACTGACATCTTATTCCTAATGTCAGGATAAAAGTTTATTCTTTTTCTTCTAAAAATAGACTCACTTGAGCCAGTACCAGCCTAATTTCTAGGGTTTTTTGCTTATACTCTGGATTTTAATCATGGTCTGTGACCTTTTCTGAACAATGAAAATCAGCTACATAATAAGATGGCTCATTCTCAGTTTTTATAACTCTATTACTCCTCAAACTTTCTTTCTAATGGAAAAGCACAACCATCACTTAATGTGATTGTTTAGCTTGTGCAGTTCTCATCTGACCCAAATATGGTTATACTTTTCATGGCTACCCATGGTTCTTCACAAGGTAATAGCACTAATGTACAAAAACTTCATTACTGAGTGGCAACCAATGTAGTTTTCCCATTGTGATAGAGACTGCAGCAAGATCTATATGCTTTTTGGATAATAAAGTACAAGAATGAAGTTTTAGAAAAGCCCATCAGCATCCAGCAATAGAGAGACAAGGTACTAGTGCGGGGGTAGGTGAGATGCTGTGTTGCGCAGCATATAGAACTGTGAGGATTAGTGGAGAACAGAGTAGCTTATTCCTCTTATTTCTGATATTGTTTCTTGCAAGGTGATATCTGTATTACAGAGATGTTATTTTCCTGTTGGTCAGCTGAAATGGAAAGGAATGATAGAGCTGATATTTGGAAAGGAATCTCTTCCTATTATCTTCCTGAAATGAATCCATCTGCATTTCCTTGAGGGTTTTCTAGGAGGGATTGTGTTTTCAATACAAAACATTCTATTAAGCATGACATAAAAGAAAAGTGAGGAACAAGAATCATACAGCTGCTGGAGGAACAGAAGTGCATGCAGCAGTACCCTCCTCTTCTGTGTAGCTTGGTGGTTAGAGCATTTGTTCACTGGAGGGAAGACTTGGGTTTTGCTGTCAGTTCTGCCTGTATGGGAGTGAACATACATCTCCTGCTTCACACATTCTACCATGAATACCTGACTGTGTGGAATGAGTGGGTATGTACATAGACATGAGTTGGAAAGGAAGGAGCACTGGTAGTATAAGCTGGTCCCACTGACATAGCTCCAGGCTTTGTAAATAATTACATATGCATTGGAACAGGAAGCCAAGAGTCCCAGCTCTTGGGTGAATGTCCTGAACATAAGGCTGGAGAGTAATTTTCTCTCTTGCTCTCTGCCTCAATTAATAACCTTTGATGTAAACCTGGAATGAATCCAGCAGGAATGATTGAATCGCACTTCCAGCTTCTGGTTCCAACCACTTCCCTAGAGAAAGAGAGTAGGTAGCTTAGAAAATAGTCCCTCTCACACACATCATGCACATACAAATGAAAACTAAATACAAGTCTACAGGGTCTGTATTTTCAAGAAAAAGGACTACAGAAATAAATATTAAAGATGGCACTTAATATAGCAACAGATGGTAACCAAACATCCCAATTGAGGAGCCACTGTTTAGGTAATATTTAGATAAAAGCAATTTCTGCTTCTTGGCTTCTCATAGCACTCCCTTTTCTGTTACAAATATATCAGCTCATTCTAATTCAGTAAGTTTTAAGGATTGGGGTGGGGCTCTAGGGGTGGGTGTTTCTTGTCCTACTGCTTTGTTAGCACATTACAACTACATAGCGGAAAAACTGTGTAACTTCAGTATGTCACTGCTGGACCTGGCATGTTGGATTTTATTTAAGTTAATGAATGTAATGGGTTTAGTGGCTTATAAATAGCTGCTGAAAAATGTTCAAATGCAGATTTCAGGACTCAGTTTAGCACCTAATCAAGTTGTTTATGAAATACAAAAATATATTATTATTGTTCTTTTTCCCTTCATTCTCAAGGAGGTTTGATTTTTGAATATTTATATAAACCTTGTGATCCTACTGAATTTGCTGTCTTTGGGAAAATAAAATGTGTATGACAGCTGAAATCTGTAATGTAATGGAGGTCTTTTGTAAACTTCTAGATTTAGTCTCTAATATATATTCTGCTACTCAGTTAAATATGAAGATGCGCAGTGAAATTACTGAATGAAAGTAGAGTCAAATGAATATTTGTCATGAATATCCTGCTCTCATTTTTATGAGAGAAATACTTAAAACAGAAAAAATCAACAACAAAAAACCCAAGGTACAAACAATGCACTAAACCCTACAAAATATTACATGAATGTGATGATATTCATTTGTGTTTTGAAGGTCATGAAACTAAGGCCATGCTAAATAACAGCGGTCCTCGTTACAAGCGCAGCAAGATAGAGCGACAGATGAATATGGATATTTTCTTATGTGTGGGACTCCTGTTTGTGATGTGTCTTGTTGGAGCTGTAGGTATGAACCACTGACAAAAATAAACCTCTGTTTCATTGCTTTTTTTTTTAAATGGTGGTTAAAATTGATCTTATAGACATGAGTGAGACCAGATCCGGAGCTGAATGCTCTTTAGACTGCTTGGTCTTTCCAATAGACAAGTTAAAATGGAAAATCTGAGCAATTCAGATGGGAGAAAATTCATCCATGGCTACAACTATTTCAGTTAAGACCCATCTTCACTGTGGCATAGTGTGTGTAAAGCTAGCAAGTGAAAGTCATTGGGTTAATACATTGCAGAAATTGGTACTTGCCAAGTAAGATTTGTCTCCTGAGTGGATGTTTGTTCCTTGTGTATAGCAACAAAGGTAAAATGATGTAGCTTTACCTTCATTTCAGTAACATCTTCTAATATGTTCAGGAGTGATGTTTGCCAGAGCTACCCAGTTTACAACCCGTGAGCTGCACATGGCTAATTCACCCAGTTTACAGTCTTGACAGCTACCTTCCTTCTTAAGAACCCCTTTACAAATGGCTGTAAGGTGAATTAATAGTTTAAGTAGGAGCAGGCTGCATTTCGTTGGGGTCCCTGCAAGTGAGCAGTCTTGAATGTAGTAACTGGGGTTAGCTGACTAGAGTTTACTAGATTGCTAATTTCAAAAGCATCATCACCACTGCATATAAGCACCTGCTTGACTTCCAGCCCTGATTGCAGTCTGGCCCAGGCACATCAGGATTAATGGGATCTCATAATCAAAGAATCACAGAACAGAATCATAGAATAGTTAGGGTTGGAAAGGACCTTAAGATCATCTAGTTCCCACCCCCTTGCCATGGGGAGGAATAATCCTGAGGAAAGGGCCAAAGTTTAAGCCCACTGACTTCTGAATGGGTCACTGCTTGAAAGATAACATGGGCTCCCTTGAGAGGCAGAGAGACACTTTACGTTTGTTGTTCCTTGGCTGCTGTCATGTAGATGTAGAGATTAGTCATTGTTTAGTGTGTAAGCACCCTTGAGAAACATCCTTAAAAGTAAGTTTTAAAGTGGTCTCAGCGTTTAATAAACAATTTATCTGATCAGATTTTAAAAACCAACACAAACAAAAACCCCAAACATGAAGTGTCTGAATGGCAAGTGAAACGTAAACGTTAACAAGTCCATTTCGTCAATTCAATATATCTTGTAGATCTACCATGAGTTCTTGCTTTGCGGCCTTGTCTAAATGTAGGGTTCTAGGAAGAAATATCACTGATGGATCAGTTTTAAGGACTTTTCTTGCACACAGTGGAAAAATAGGGTAAGAAGTGGCTTATAGAGCATAGTTGTCCTTGCTCTGACCAGTTGTGGTCTCTAGCAGTGAGGATAATTTGCATTTCTTTGGCAGCATTTCAGTAGGCAGATGCTGCAAAGCAACTGCTTGCTTAGCTGATGTTAATATAAGTTTTATCAGAGCTGGATATGGGAAGTGATCTGATAGAGGTTTCTGGCACCTGGAGCAATGGTGCAATGAGGGACACCGAGTTGTTTGTCCTAGCTCTGTGTGAAGTTTCTGATGCTATAAATTTAGTAACATCCTTCAGCAAAGTTTATTTCAGTAAGGGCAATGTGAAAGGTGGTAAAATAATCATGATGGGATACTGTTAAGTTCAGAAATGAAGGCTCTGTTTTAGTAGTGCAAAGATGTCTACTGACATTTAAGACACAGGAAGAAGCAGCTTTGGGGTACAACTCAATTGAAAGGAATGTAAAAACAAGCTGCCCAGACTGAATTATAGGGGAGTTGTAAGCTCTAAAAAAGACAAACTGAAATCTTGAACGGTCAGGAAGGATAAGGAAGATTTCAGTTTGTCTCCATAGAGGTTACAAGATTTCTTTCTGTTAGAAAGAGGAATGGGAGTATCCAGTGCTGAGAATTTTTAAAGTGGTAGAGATGGAGTCCTTCAGCAGCAAGCTGTAGAATGAGGAAAGGTCTGTGCAGAGCCAGGAGCCCTGGGGAACACGTGCTGAAGGAGAGAAAAAAAATATCCATGACCACTCCTTTCTTACTAGCATATCAATTGTATGCATGTACTATAAAGCTCTTCATGTACTTTGCATTCTCCAATAAGTTTGCAGCATTGCTTGGGGTCTATTGCTTTAGAAATGTTCTTTTTTTTTTAATTATCATAGCAGCCCGTATCTGCAAATTTTAGAAGCTTTGTTAATCACCTTACTTCTCAGCATATTTCAATATTGGATATCATTCCTGCAGGTCATGGCATTTGGACTAGAAGCTTCTCAGAGCATCCACCTTATGATGTCCCGGATGAGAATGGCAATTTTTTGTCTCCATTTCTTGCCGGTTTCTACATGTTCTTGACAATGATAATCCTGTTGCAGGTAAAAGACAAAAGCCTTCTTCAAGGAAGAAACTTCAATACTGACTGTAATCACTAATGAAAAATTAATATCGACTAATGGTTGCGCAGCACCTCTTTAATCCTATTTGAAAATATTGTTAGACGTTTCAAATCATGCATGTGTAAAAGAATATATTCTTTTTTATTCCTTTCTAACTGCAGATTTTTCTTTCTCACAGTTGAAACCCACAAGAATATAGATAGGAAGGATGCATATTATATCTTTAAATAACTCCAGAATCTTTAGCATACGCAATAGAGAGGATGTTTACATCCAAATGTCAGCTTTTCCTTTTTTTTTTTCCTCTTTTTTTTTTCTGCTTATGTCCAGAATTCCAAAATAGAACACCACTTAATATCTCAGGAAAACGGTGAAACGGAAATTGTAATTTTTTCCAAACAGGGAATAATAATTAGATTTAGTTCAGCTGGTTTAAGAAAGAAACTAAATTAGAAGTAGGATGCTTGCATATCTGAGTCTGATTAAGCCTAATTGGGAGAGAACATTTTATGGGACAGGTGGAAAAAAATCACATTTACTTTCCAGATTTCTTGAGGTAATTGCTGAGATTTAAGTGGACAGAATTTCTTTAATATGAATGAAATGTGACAATGACTTTCAGAGCTGCTCAGAGGTTTCTTGGGGGATTATTCTTCATTACTGAAACAGAATATTTGTGCATCTTCAGAATTCGTTATTCAGGGCAGGGAAGCTACTGAGTGGGAAGTGTTGTGTGCAAAGGAATTGCTTGTTGAACTTTTTTACATTAAGTGTTAGTCTGTGCTATTGCATCCCTTTCAGAGTTTCAGGAGGGTAAGGGCAAGCATGCTTCTCAGTCCAGACAATGCGCTTTGTAAGAGCGTCTTCTAAAGGACCCATCTTTGCATTTGGTATTATAGGAATTTTCTGTTAAATTTGCCACTTATTGTCCCTGTTTATCCATTGCTGTTCTGTGCAGGATTTTTTTTTTCTCCTCTGAATTATTAGTATTACTGAGTCCAACAGTCTCTAGGAAGAGCTGTTTCTTTCAGAAATGTTGGTATACTTGAGCCAGGACATTGCTGACAGAAAGCAGTAAAACTTATCTCATCCCTCAATTTAAATTCTTTCAGGTTTTAATCCCCATTTCTCTTTACGTGTCCATCGAGTTAGTCAAGTTGGGCCAAGTTTTCTTAATTCACAATGACATTGACCTGTATGACGAAGAAACAGATTTGCCCATACAGTGCCGTGCCCTAAATATTCCTGAAGATCTTGGACAAATCCAGTATATCTTCTCAGACAAAACTGGGACGCTAACAGAAAACAAAATGGTATTCCGACGCTGTACTGTTGATGGAATTGAATTTTCACATCAGGAAAATGGTGAGAGACTTCTATATTAGCTTTTCTCTCTAAGCAACTAAATGTTATTAATTTAAATATTCATATTTAATCCTAATGAGCCCTCTGACTGAATGTAGAACTTTGTGAATTTGTCTTCATTTTGTGAGGGACTCCTGTTAGAGAGTCACAAAAGTGAAGGTGTTTTAAATGATTCAGAAGTCAGATGGGAAAAGTTTTCCAGTTTCCTCTGCAGGCATCTCAGGCTCTGCCTTGCATTCAATACCCACTTGAGCATGCAGAGAGAACATTTTCTCTTTGATTTCTAAATGAATGCCAGCCAACCTTTTATAAGCTCACAAATTGAGATTAGTTAGTAATTAAAATCAGTGGGTCCAAAAGTAATTACCATAGTCTTCTGTGTGATATGAAAGCTACAGCTGCACATTTTCTTGCGTTGACCCTAGTTGCAGTCCTTATCTAAAGTCTCTTGGTGTTCAGTGCTCTGAATCTAGGGGTTTGACACAGGCCCACTCTTGGTCGCTTTCTCTCTACATTGCACAAAGGATTTTATTAAGCTGGCAAGCAGCTGCCAGAAAGATGTTTGTGCTCTGTGACTGAAACCATTAGCAAATCTGTGAATTACCATATTTCACTCTCGTCTTCCAGTCAACTGCAAAATGCAACTAAAGAGACCAAGCACCAGCAGAAGTCCATACAAACCATGACTGATTGGTTTGTAAATGTATTTTTGTTCACTTGTAATAACAATCATTGGAAAGTGGGAGCTGCCAGAAAATGAAGTGGATAGTGAAGTTTTATGGTGTTGGTTCCTGAGATGTTCTGGGTTGGGTTGGGTTGGGTTGGGTTGGGCTGGGTTGGGTTGGGTTGGGTTGTGCTGGGTTGGGTTGGGTTGGGTTGGGTTGGGTTGGGTTGGGTTGGGTTTGGTTTGGTTTGGTTTGGTTTGGTTTGGTTTGACCAGCCAAGGAATTCCTCCCAGGCAATCCAAAAAAAAAAAAAACAACCCAGAGTAAGAAGTAAGGTTTCGTTTTCTCTTTTTTACAGCCAAGCGCCTGGAAACCCACAAAGAGTTGGATTTAGATAATGAGGACTTTGCAAAACTTCAGCACCTCACTCTTCCTCCAATTAATATTGAGACACCAGGCACTTTTAAGCAGAGGACCACAAGACCTCTAAGGAGGTGCCAGAGTGCTAGGGCTCATTTTCAGGGTCATACAAGGAACAGGTCGCTGGGTCGTCGTGACAGCAACCAGTCTCAAGTGGCATTCAGCAGTCCCATTGTGAGTACAAACAGATCGAGCTCATGCTTGTAAGTTCTTTCTGTGGCGTTTTGTGATGGGAAGCGAACAGGTGGGGACAGGAGCAATCCAACTCCTAGAGGAGCTGAAGGAAGGAGGCAAAGCATTGGGGTCCTTGCTTGGAGTGTGCAGGCTGCAGTTGCAGGGAGCTAGGTGAGAGTTTGGGAATCTGGGTCCCTGTATCAAAGACTGAAGCAGAAGAGTGGGGACATACAGGTGAGATTTTGTGATGGTTGCTTGACAGGAGGAGGAAACATGTGTTTAGGGTCCAAGGACTGAGGCTGTGGTTCATAACAGTAGGAAAGAGGTACTTTGCAGAAAGAGGAATGAGCTTTTTGTGCTGTTCTGGTTCACCAAAATGAAGTGGGGATTCTGGGCTGGGATTGTGCAAGAGGACCTACGGACGTGTCTGGAGCCTGGCTTTGCAGAAACAGGAGGCACAGGTCCTCCTGGGAGATGATGTTCAGGAAGAGAATATGGCTTTGAAATCTGAGTTCAGACATAACTCAAAAAGCCACAAACTTCTGCATCTAGCACTGCAACATATCTCTGTTAAACAAAGTATAGTCACGCCTGCGCTGTGCCTGCAAAATGCCCAAGATTCACTCTCCAGAGCAGTTCTGGGAGTCTGTTAGTGTGTCAAAAGATAAATATTGCATTTTTCAAGGCAAAAGAGAGAAAGCAGCACAAAGATAATAGAAATTAAACTAAAAGGACTTTTCAGGATAAGGTCTTAAACCCTGCAAGATGTCGAAATCTGCAAGATTCTGAAAAGCCTTGTCCTCCTTCAGTACCTAGGTGACCTCTGCCTCACCTGGTGTGTACTGACTTGGAAGGACACATTGTCTTCATTGCAATTCTAGGAAAGTCTTGGATTCTGATGAATTTTAGACCTGAAATGTATTGAAATCTAAGGCAACCCAATTAAAATCAGATTGTTCTTTTCTTCTTGAAAGTCTTCTTAACAGACATTTCAGACAAGGCTTCTATGGACTCTAGGACAATGTCAAACGTTTTCAAAATTAGAACTCCAATTAAAATTAAATGCCTGGAAAACCCTTCAAAATTCTCAAAACTTCTTGGCAAGGTTTTAGATTTACTGACTTTTTGGGGAGGATGTAAATTTATTATAAAATATTATTTGCCTCATTTAGTTCCTCTGTCATGTAGCAGATAACAGTCAGTACTTCTGCTCTTGGAATATGAGGTGTTTGTCAGTTGTTATCCTAAGCATTTGCCAGCCCTGTCCTCATGGGATGTTGAGAACCCCTCAACTGGTTTTTGAGAACCCATAGATCGTGACTTTTGAGGACCTCTTATGGTCCTCATAAGACTTCTTAAATGTGATAAATTAATTTCTTGCCAGCATATTTCACCGATTATGGTTTTTACTGCCAGACATCTTCTATAAATACACTGCCATGTTATTTTTTTTTTTTTTTCCCCACTGTAAGGGCAATACCTGAGGAACTAGTATCAAAGATTTTTGCAGAGGAAGATTAAGCTTCTGTCATGGAAATAACCAGCCTTAGCTGCTAATAGGTGTCACTCTATCTGGATATATCATTTAACCTCTATGACAAATATGAATAAGTAGTAATTGCCCAGAGGGTGTAATATGTATTGATGTCCTTCAAATGATGCATAGTAGTATCTTTCTTTATCAGGCAAGCCAATTCCCTATTAATGAAATGGGGATAATAAAATTTTCTGTGCCTCTGTGGTTCCTGCGCTTTGGAACTTTTATCACCTTTTTCTGATACATTTGTAATTTAATACAAATCTGGAGCATCTTGAGTACTCCAGTTACACAGAAAGTATCATGGGCCTGAATGTACTTCAGTAGTCAAAGTTTCTTTAAAAAATACATCTTTGAACAAAGGAAGAAGATAAGGAATTAATATTTACTCTGTCTGCTTTTTAGCTATTCTTATGATTTAAGATCATGACAGTCCATTTCCTTCTAGATTTAATAATTCTAATAAAGTGTCTTGCTATTAAAAACAGTTCATGAAGATTTCAATTGTTCTATTGTCGCAAGGTTTTAGTGTCATAAATTAGATGAGATGTTATAAAATTGATAAGGATATTTCAGAAACTGAATGGCACCAGCCATTTTATAACATTGGCTTTTCACTAAAAATTGCTAACATTGAAAAGTTGGTAAATTTAACTGATCATCATCATGAGTGTTGTTTAATTTACTTGTTTGTTTGTTTGTTTTTATATAAGTTCAGGCTGGTCAATGAACAGACTTGTTTTTCTGAATATTTTTATCTCCTGAAGTTCCATAAGGCTGGAAGTTCAGGTCACCCTATTTTCACCACGAAAAAGAAAGTGAGAGAACCTTTTCAATAAATAGGGTTTTTTTATATCGCTGTTTCTAAAACCTGAGGCCACAGTTGACCTGACAGGTTTCTGTTTTTTCCAGAGGAAAATTTTGAGTTCAGAAAGTTTCTGCTAAAGTGGAATATCCACTACGGCATTTTGGCATGAACTAGAGGCTGATGTTGAAGATATAGGTGCAAAAGAGATTGGGCGGGATGGTGACAGGTAGGAGAGGCTGAGATCTGTGTGTAGTAATTTGTGGTTCATCGGGTTCATTCCAATTGTGAAAATGCACAAGGACATTATACGAATAGCTGGGCAAGTCAGTGAGTTTCTGATCCTTCATGTTTTAAGTCTAATATAATTCCCAACATAACTGTTTTGACAATTGTGTCTGCACATATGTGTTCTTCATTAGAATTGTTCGGTTAAGCTATTTGGGACTGCTAAACGGACTAAGCACAGTATTGGCAACAGACAGTTACCCATAGCAATTGTCTCCTGCAGTGAAGTTTTGTGGAAGAATGACAGCTTTAATTTTTCAGCCCCTGATTCCTTTTAATAGACCAGAGAAGATAACACAAAAATCAGGCTTATGCTCAGTATGTATCAGTTTGCTGGAGAAATGACTGCATCTGTACTTAAAACATTCCTCCATATGTGAAACAAAAGAAACATGAAAACACTGAGCCACAGGAACCACAGCTTCCTGCAGCAGAGAAAGTGCAAAACCTTGTTTCCTCTTTGGATTTCAATTGCACTCTGTGCTGCAAAATAAACAGCAGATTTATTTGTAATTATTAGGATGATTTAAGAACCACTATTCACTTTAGCAAGCAGGAGTTACTATGCAACATATTGAGCTCAGCACAACATAGCCGTGAAGGTGAATGCCTGACTTCTGTTGCATATATATGGAACTTAAGAAAACTGTGCCAGATTGAAGGATGAGAGGGTAATAACTGAGATAAGCTAGAAAGCAGATAAATCATTTTGGCAGTTCCTTAAAGAAGGCATCCAAAAGCATTGGCTTACAGGAAGGTCTCTCTTAAATTTGGAAGTTTTTGATAACTATGGCTCTGCTAAAATGAAATTTCCATTAAAAGTAATACTCTCATACCCCTATATCAAATTAAATCTTAAGTGACATTAAGTAGTTTGGCTTGCAAATTTAGGTTTGATTAGAAAGAGTGTGGTAGTAAAATTACAGTAACATTTCAGGAACAAATGAAGTATGTATGTATTCATTGTAAAAACTGAGAAAGAACAGTTTGAGACAGCTGCTTCTTCTGGACACAAAGCAAAATGACTCTGGAAACAAAAAAGTTATACTGTTATAGCCAAGCCATAAGCACAGTATATTCTCTGTTGAAATAACAATCAGCTCCTAAACTGAAATGGGAGATCACAAGTCCACTTCCATTTGGAATGGCCCTTAGTTCAGTAGTCAGCAGTTTCAAAGTTGGGGGACACAGCATAGATTATTTTTGATTTCTAGTAGATCTCGAAATAAATTTCTGAAATCGTCTTCTATTCCAAGATGCATTTCATTCAAACTATCTAGTTATACAGCTCTTAGAAATGTATCCTTTTTTCCCTAGATGTTAAGTACAAAAGGTGTTTGCCTTACATAACTCTAGATGTAAATTCAGTAAGAGGCTAGAAGCAGCTCTCTAGTTGATAGTTCTTCCTTAAGGACAAGGGTGAATGGGAAAAAATCTTCATTAAGTAATTTCTCTTCCAGGAAAAGGATGTGACTCCTGACAGCAGGCTGCTGAGGCGAGTGAGAGAAGCTGCGCTCCAGACTGAAAACCTTTCTCCTTTTATACATATGAAGACTTCCACATCCCTTACTGACTTTTTTCTTGCCCTTGCCATCTGCAATACAGTCCTGGTCTCCACAGCTACTGAGCCAAGACAAAGGGTAATCTAACTTCAAGTATATGAGGAAAACTGATTATGCTTCTATTTAACAACATACTGTAGTGTTCCGTGAAACCTGAAATGGTGAAAAAATGGTTTGGAAATTCTCCTTTAGTTCTTTAACCTTTTCTGTAGTATCTACTGTTTCCCTGCCTGTGAATATGCCTTCCTAACATGGCTTTTTATGTTTGATGAATAGCTATGGCTACTTCACTTTTTCTTTTAGATTTTCTATTATATATGCTATAAGAAGTATGTTGAATATACTGAGTTTTCTTGATCTCTCAGGCTATTGACAGAACTACAAAGGGTTTGATTCCATCTCTGCTTCGGAGGTAGAGATACAAATCACCATCAACTTTGGATGCCAACTCACCTGTGATTCCCCTACTGAATTCCTCACCACAGTTAAATAGGGAAAAAAAAAAAAAAAAAAGAAAAAAAGAAAAAGGTTGATTTTCTCATTATCTTCATTTATAAACAGAAAAATATATTGAGGCTTTGAAAAGTATCTTGTAGTTCATGTTTATTTCTTTTTTAATCATAGGTTTTCTCATAATCCTAGGTCACGGTACCACCGCCAATAAAACCATCAGGAATCACTCTGGAGAAGATTCACCAGATATTTCAGAGGCTAAAATTAGCAAGCCTTAGTCAGTCTTTTTCATCATCTCAGTCTAGCTCAGACCTAGGTGCTAGCTTAAGTGCAAGAAACACAGAGGAGCAGCTTGCTGCACTGGATTGCTGTGACAATGACAACGACTGCTGTGCCAGCCGTAGAGACGATGGACTCCAGGGCAAGGACAGCGCCGATATTGGTAGTGCTTCCTTGGATGAAGTTTTCAAATCTGTGACTAACAGTTCTTTGCCAACAGACTTTTGTTATGAGGCTGAGAGCCCAGATGAGGCAGCGCTTGTCTATGCTGCCCAGGCATACAGCTTTACTTTAGTGTCCCGAACTCCTGAGCAGGTGACCGTAAGGTTGCCACAGGGCACGCTCCTGACTTTTGATATTCTCTACACTTTGGGATTTGACTCAGTAAGGAAAAGGATGTCCGTAGTGGTGAGACACCCTCTAACCAAAGAGATTGTTGTCTACACAAAAGGAGCTGACTCAGTTATAATGGACTTGCTGGAAGACTCTGCCAAAGGTAATTAGCCGATGAGCTATTTTTGTTGTGTCTCCTATAAAGAAGCACAAGGAGTTTGCAGTACTCTTTTCTGCATGAAATATTCTATCTAGGCATTAGAAGTACAAAAAAAAAGAAGCAGCTTTCTCTAGTGTTATCTTTGCAGATCAGAAGTGAGGTATTTATTTAACCTGAGTAGTGCTCAGAATATGGAATGGGCTAATTAAAATTCCCTGACAGCGCTAACCCATGTGGATTGTGTACACTGCAATAATACTGTCATAAGGGCCTGACCATCGTATTTCAGCTTGTCAGCAAGAGTGCTATAACATTAACAAACAAACAAACAAAAAATTCCAAGCCATGGTGTCTTAAGGGAAACAAGCATCTTTAGCAGGCTTTCAGCTGATGCGCTGCCAGCGTTTCTGGGCTTTTAAAGGAATTGCTGTTATATTGGAATCAAGTGTTCACTAATGCCCACTCCTTTTTAACCTTAGGCCATTAGGTACTGAAATGGTCTGTGCTTAAACTAAGGATTTTTTTCCTTGTATTTCACAGATGACATTAGCACAGAGAAGAGAATGAAAAGAATAAAAGAAAAAACACAGAAGCATCTGGACTACTATGCCCGTGATGGCCTACGAACTCTGTGCATAGCTAAGAAGGTAGGAGGGCATTAGCCTAACTGTTTATGGTTTTGCTCCATACAAGCCAATAGATTTATTAGAAATATGTAATGGTTATAAGAACAAGTCAGGCACAACCCATATTTTTGTCCCTCTCTTTGGTTGTTCTGCAGTCTGTCTTTGTTTTTTCCTCAGTATGAGCAGATGATGGATTTTTGGTCAGTCTCAAAACGTTAATTTCTATTTCTCTTATGGTAACTCTAGCTGACCTTTTCCACAATGATTCCAAGCAAGAAATAAAAAGCCCACAGAGGAGCCAGCCTATTTCTGTTTTGCTTGGCATTCAGCTTTCAAAAATCTTGCCCTCGGACTGGGTTAGTACATCTTAGCCTGATACTGTAATACAGAAGTTGTCTATGTGCAACACATAGGTCATATTCGAGACCTGCAGAAACACAGAGTAACCTTCAGAAACTGTGTTTTCCACTTCCAAGTCCTAATGAAGGGCTGTGTGTTCAAGAGTTTCTCTGGGTCACATTTTTAAAGTCTCAGCTGTAGGCCATGTATGCGCACAGGAAGGCAGGTCTATTTTTCTCATTGCTACTAGTTCTTGCAGTCTTCTCCTGGAAGAGTTTGTGTTATTTTAAAGATGGCACAGTACTTTACCAGCCTGGATAGGAGTTAAGTCTTTGTGATCCAGAATGTTTGCATTCTTCTCTTATTTAAATTTTAAATGAGCTCTGTTTTAAATTGTGTTATGCAGGTCTTGAATGAAGATGACTTTCAGAAATGGGCCAATTTTCGTCGGGAGGCAGAAGCTGCAATTGACAACAGAGATGAGTTGTTAATGGAGACAGCACAGCATCTGGAGACCAAACTCACCTTGCTGGGTAGCTAAAAATAAGAATTGTCATTGTATGAAGTATCTCACTTGCTCTCCTGTGATATTCTTGGCAATGAGACAGACAACACCTTATACTAATTTATATCAAAAAGCCTTCCTCTGAGGTTTGGAAATCTCAGGGCTAGGGTATACAGACCAATGACTGTCTAAACATTTTGAGCAGCATTAACTTTGAAAAAAGTGTACTGAAAACATGTGCCAGGAGTAAAAACCATGTACATCAGCTGATACTGTGGCTTAGCTAACACAGTACATGATGAAGTTCCCATAATTCAATCATGGGTCTGTGTCCTTAGATAAACCTTTAAAATACTATAAATTAACTTCAGGTTTGAGCACAAATTCCAAGGGAATTCGGGTAACTAAACTGTATTATAAAAACCTGTAACTTAAAAGCATAGGTATTTTTGCTAGTGAATTCCTGCTGCTGTTGCATTGTCATGTTTGCTTTCTGCACTCTGTAAAAAAAATATTTCATGTTAAAGCTTACATTCATTGGCACTTGGGTATCATCCATCATCCCCATATCTAACACTATTCTGTCAAATTATGGAGGAATTCATTTTGTTTCCAAACATTTTGCTCTTTAGGGCTTTGATTTTTGGAGCTATCTCAGTCTCACCTTTCTGTGAATACAATCTGTGCCCGTACTTCATTATCCTGAATTTCTGTGATTGCAAGCCATTAGTGTTATGGCTTCTCATAATCTTTGCAATGACTTAAAAAATTAGAGTAATAACAGTAAATGCCATAAGCAGAACCACATAAGAGGTAATGTTGATCTTGTCAGAATCTGTTAACCTTTGCCAAATCTTAAGGATCTTGTGTGCTTTCATTCTTAATTTCACAAATGTTTTTTTTTAGCTTAAATCAATATCCATGTTTAATGTATCAGAGTTGCTGCATCTTCAAACTGACCTCTAGTGGAAGAGATAAGTGGAGAAATGTTGCAACATACAGATGGTGACTGGTTATCAGGATGAGTGCTTTCATCTGCTTCTAAGTTTGTGCATTTTCAAAAAGAAAACTTACTGTTCCAGTGCTTCTCCCTTTGATGGGTGAAGCATTTGACTGGATAATAGGGATAGCATTCATTTAAATAGTCAAGGTTCATCTTCTTCTGGTTGCTTTGATGGGACTTAGTGCAGTACTTTAAAAATGCATGTGGTGTAATTTCTCTGCCAGTACATTGTCATTTTGGATTATTAAAAAGAAATGAAATGCATTGTTCTAGCAACGAGTAAAATGAAATGCCAGAACTTGATTGCTGACACATTCAGATCTTAATCCAAATGCAGATCTTGTGCCTGTGTGTTTGTTTGCTGGACAAGATCTTGGATCAGCTCTTAATCAGTTCAGGATCACGGCTGGAAGTCAAAGACCTCTTCTTAAAAAAGAAAATAGCGACATGAAATGAAAGAAATGAAAGAAAACTACTTAACTTCTTTTCCTGTCTGCCCAGGAGCAACAGGGATTGAGGATCGGCTGCAAGATGGAGTGCCTGACACTATTGCAGCTCTTCGAGAAGCCGGGATACAAATCTGGGTGCTGACAGGAGACAAACAGGAAACAGCAGTTAACATTGCATATTCCTGTAAACTCTTAAACCAAAGAGACACTGTCTTCACCATTAACACTGAAAGTAAGGTGAGTAGAGAGAGAGAGACAGAATTTACTATCTTTCTCTCTCTTTGCAGCTTGACAGTGTTTTGCTTTAGACTGCATTCAACACAAAACAGACGTCCTAAAACCTACATAGCAGCATTAGGCCAGAAACCCTTTAGATCACATGTAACAGCATGAATTGAAACACAAGACAGTTAGAGTTTTACTTAATTAACATACAATGATCTTTCCAAATTAAAATATTCTTTTTAAAAAATAGACTGCTTGAGTCCTTAATAATGTTGATATCTGGTTTTTGATCTTGCAATGGAAATTTCAGTTACAATGATACTTTAAGCCTCTGTGCTACCTGTGGGAAGACATTTGGAAAGTACTGTGTAATTCAGTCTGGAAAAGGTATGTAGGTGTAGTTTCAATTCAGTTTAGAACTTTCTACTTGCATGTTCCCTAATAGGATTAGTTTTAATCAGAAATTTATTAGTGAACAATTTAATCCAGTATTTTTTGTGTAAACAGCATTTCACCTTCTTGGAAACCTGAATATAGTTCTTGTGGGCCAGTTAAAAAATAATCACTTTCTTGACATAGTTGTTGATGTGTACAGATATTCCCTGAATTTGCATGGGCAATAAGCAAGGCAGTAGGCAAAGCAAACGTGCTCCAAAATGAGGACAACCACTTCAAGGGGCATCTGTCAGCTCCCATGACTCACTGAAATACAGTGAGAAGTCTGTAGTGTAATCTATGGCTGTTGTTGAAACTGTCTGAACAGAAGAGAGAAAATGAGTCCTAACCTTCGAAGAAGATAAATGCCATTGAGGACGGTGAGAGTACAAGACATTGGAAAAACAACCTTGGCTTTTGCAGTTCATGAAGCAGGTTTGTGAATGTAGGGTACCAGGAAATCAACACCTTGCTTTCTGAAAGCAGAATGGCTACCACTGTGCACAGCCTACCATTTCATCCCTCCAGGTGTCCTGGTGGGAGAAATGGCTTTGTAAGATGGACTTAGGGGAGAGCAAGTTCAGGCATTATAGTTAAACCAGACCCGTTGCATTTTTAAAACCTGAAAGCAAGGTCCAAAATGCCAGCTGTGATGCCCTTCTCTATTTTCTTGCTAGTGACTTATTTCCCTTATAGCTCTGGATGCCCAGGGATGCTCTAGGCAGGAGTCACTGCCCTTTCCCGCTGTGTTGCTTTGTCCTTTCTATGCAGCCTACACGTCTGACCCATACTCAGCAGTATCAGGAGTTACAAGAGACGAGCCTCAACAAGGTCTTGGTTACCTCAGGCTTTTCTTCCCCACAGAAGAGGGGTTAATAACACAAGCTTGCCTTTCTCTCTATAAAGCTATTGTGAGGATTAATTGTAGTTAAAATGCTGACTGTTTTTCTTGTGATAGACAATTGTATACAGCAGTTAGATGGCCTACTTTCTAAATGCTTTTGTCTGCAGTTAGTAGCTCTCCAAACAAGAATAAAATCCTATGCAAATCTCTGTCTCTTTTAATGCCATGGAAATAGGGAAACACGCATAGATGATACAGAATTTGGCACGGAATGCATTCCTTGCTTCAATGTGTAATTTCATTTGATACGCATATCTGCTTTAACGGGAAGCAGAATGAATATATTTAGGATGGAAATTAGAAGATGGTTTCTGTCAGAGAAGTGCTGCAGGCAGGACCACCCTGACTCCTGGAATCAGAGGCTTGAGCATTTATCCATAACAACCTATACAGCCCTTGATCCAGGCTCAGATGCAAGCTGTGTGTATATGGGCTCTGGTGTGAATACGGGTGGTTCAGTGGGCACTGGAGTTGCTCTACAATAAGATTTAGCTCCCTCCCTCGCAGAATGAAGCCGAGGACATTGGTTCTGAAAGGGTCTCCCAATGGCAGCAGCAGGGAAAAACAAATAATGCATACAAAGCATTTACCTCATTAATCTAGCCAGAAGTAACCCTTGAACTGGCTTCAGTGGGAAGGGAATCTCTTTACCCCCTGAGCCCAGCAGCTTATTCGAATGCTGAATAGTATCTTCCAGTAAACAGCAACACAAGGAGGTTGTTTGGGGCATTCATTTAAAAAGCAAAGCCAAGGCAAAGCAGGAATTTCCACTGCAATTTTTGGTTTGTTCATGGAAAGAAGCTGCTGCTTTGATATTTCTTTTATAGGTTTTAAGTGTGCAGGCTAGATGCAGCTTTTTATTAGATGTCAGAGGTACATTTGATTCCAGAACCTCCCACTTAAGTGTAATTTAAATCTTGCAAACATCCTACACATGTACATTATGCAACATAAAGTGAAAATAACATTTTAGAACTGAATCATCTCTCAATAAAGCTGACAGAAAAGGTAGAAAAGGGAGTGATTAGCTCCTCAGGTATTCAGTGCCATGCCATAGAAGGAGGACTTTTAGTATTAACAGGTAGCATAAATACTTTTAGATCATTCTGGCTTTTCTCTGATTGTAGTGTGGCAATTTAGGAGATCTGTATGGGAGAGGTAAAAATGCTCACCTTAAATCTTTTTGCGTTTGATACTAATTCAGTTCCAGTTGTTTGCATCTAAAAGGGGACATCATTCCAAAATGAGGCAGATCTGCAAAGAGGGAAAGACTTAGTTTGTGTTTGTTACACAGTGCTGGGCAATATGAAGCTTTATTTCTGTCCCTAACAGAAATGTGCGTGTGACACACACCTGATTTGTGACCTAGAAAAGGCCAAACTGAAAAAGCTACCAATTAATTCTGAAAATCTGCAGCTCTTGTTTCTCTACCATTTTGTTTCTGAGGGAAGCAAACACTGCAGTATCTCACACCTTGCACGTCAGAACTAGATTTTGAAAACGTCCTTTTAGAAAAAAGGAGGTTTTTTAAAATTTCTCAACTCTAATTCCAAATACAAATATGTCCTCCTGATGGGAAGATTATTTTCTTCTAAAGTAATTCTTTACTACAGCTAACTAGCTGATAGGATCCACAGTGTTTCACTGAAGGGTTTGACTCTCAAATCTGACAAATCAGTGAGTTTCTCGGTTTTCTCTAATGTTTACCTGATAGGCTTAAACCCACTGGTGTGAATACACAAATATACACTTTGCAAGGTGCTGTGCTGTAAAGGGAGATGGAGATAACTATTTCTAGAACTACTTCTGTTTTCCCACAGGAAACCTGTGAATCTCTCTTGAATTTAACCTTGGAAGAGGTGAGGAAGAACTATGAGGTAGAAAAACCACGGAGGAAATTTTTTGGCATTATCCCAGCATCTTTTGCAGCCTCTGAGGCCCCAAGCCCTGAGTTTGGGCTGGTGGTTGATGGGCGGACACTGAGCGTCATCTTCCAGGGGGGCCTGGAGGAGAAGTTCCTGACCCTGACGAAGCACTGCCACTCAGTGCTGTGTTGCCGTTCCACACCTCTTCAGAAGAGCATGGTGGTCAAGCTCGTCCGGAGGCAGCTTAACGTGATGACCCTGTCGATAGGTACCTCCATTCTGAATCTCGGGAGAAAGGGGGAAGCTTTTTCCTTATGAGTTATGGAAGTGTATGGAATATAGTGTATGAGCTATTCTTTGTGCCTCAGATAGATACAGTGGGAAACCAGCATTAAATACTCTTTCCCGATCAAAAGCCACATAAAAGTCTTTCTTCAGCTTTCACTGAGCAATCCTGTCCCCCATTTAAGCAAGATAAAGGCACTCCAAATTCAGAATCTCCCAGCAGTACCTTTCATGTTCACCAGTACAAATGTATGTTCACATTCCTTTGGGTGTGGAAAGCAGTCAGTAGTAGTCACTGTTTTGCCTTTTCATAAAGCTCTTTCCTGTCAGATTTTCCAAACTGATAAAAACAGAGTTATCCCAAGAGTGGTATTAAACACAGACTCTTTTGCTTTTCACATCCAAATAATGTGAAATGCTTTAAGTTTCATGCTTCACTTTTGGTAAGTGTTCCCACTAAAATGCTTACAGAACTGATTTTTATGACTTAAAACTAAAAAATGCACCTCTCTGGACCAAATGGAAAAGGAAGTGTCTGATGTATTTTCAAATTTCTTGCTTTGCCTTAGAGTTCAAAATACAGGGTTTCAGCCTTCCCCTTCATTTGTTGTGTTTTGTCAGCTAACCTCATTCAAAATCTTCACATTGCAGGCAACAACCATGGCTGTTCTTTCCATGGAAATTTGGTTATGTATAAAACACATTGCTGCAAGTTGAAATAAGCAGAATAACTTCTGAAACTGGCTTGTTACACTGTCAGCACCAATCAAATTTATCATATGATTTAGAGAATTTAGTGAAGTAGGGTGCTGTAAAGCGTGTTTCTGAGTGCAAGGAGTTCACTAAGCACAAACATACAAAACAATGCAGATCTAGATCGTGTCGGGGTGTCCATACCACCACCCAGCTGGTCCCAATGTTGGGGTTAGCCCTGGTGGATCCAGGTCTTCTGGAAAAGATGTTCCAATCAAGATCAGAGCCTAGAGGTCATGATTGCTTGCTGCTCGATGATGAGTTACCCTAAGTAACTCAAACCTAAGATGTGTGGCAGTACAGAATAGCCTTTGTTTATCAGCATAGCTAAGGGGTTTTTCTTCTTCTCATATAGGCATTTCGTACCAAGCACCCTTTCTTGCATCTTTATTGGTCCCTTTTATCTTCCCATTCTAGGTGATGGTGCAAATGATGTAAGTATGATTCAAGCAGCTGATATTGGAATTGGGATATCTGGCCAAGAAGGCATGCAGGTATGCCTTCAGTTTATTTCCTTTCCTCATTTGTCAGATGGTCTCTTGCTGCTTATGAAGTTTCATAGGAGCCCTATACTCGAGTGTCATCTTAAAAATGCAATTTGGCATCATTACTGTTATAAATTAATATGCAGTTTGTAATTATGGGTTCAGCCAAAAGAGAGTGTTTTGAGCCAACAATTACAATGCACGGACAAGCGTATGTTTGCTCATAAGCCTGGAAAATTAGCAGATGCCTGTCCAGTGTTAGGTCGGTATCTGGCGTCTGAATCCTCTCTGCTATAACATTTCCAGGTTTTGTTTATTGTCTTTCAGTGTTTTCTGCCCCAGATTCCTTCTTCTGTATCCCCCTTCCTCGTTTTTCTAAGATAGACAGTTCTGCAGAGATGGAAAGTTCCAACTATTTTCTCAAGGTTTTGGTTTATTGGGTTTGGATTTTTTTCTACAACATTCAATAGTAGGAAATCATTTCCTCATCCATGTTCATTATGTTGATAGGGAAAAAACATATTGTAAATTAACTTCTGTTTTTTTTTACCGAAGGCAGTCATGGCTAGCGACTTTGCAATATCCCGATTTAAGCACCTCAAAAAACTGCTTCTCGTCCACGGACATTGGTGTTATGCTCGCCTGGCAAAGATGGTGATTTACTTTTTCTACAAAAACGTGGTAAGACTCTTCAGACTCTGGAAATTTCCATCCTAGCAAAGATTAAATCCAGGGCTGGGATTTTTTGGGTGGTTGGTTTGGTTTTTTCTGCAGGTTATACTCTCTTACTTTTTATGAAGCTAGACTTCCTGTTTCTTCAGTTTTCAAGTTTATAACATGCTACCTCCTTCTTAGTAGTGTGCTTTATAAAGCACTAAGGAAAATATGGGTTCTAAATGTATTTTGAAACAGCGTTATTCCAGAGGGAAAAGGACTCAAGGCTTAGTAACTTTTATAGGTAGCTCAAGAAACTTTATTAATAATACCCATGAGCCTCAAAATAAAATTTGCATAAGGAAGAGCAGATTATTAGTGCCAGAATACGTAAGATGACATTGCACTAAGAATTGTTTGCCTGTGAAACCTCTGAATTTCTGCATTTAATTTGATAGGAACCACTTGCAAGTAATGATGTGGTCATATCTGGCATTTTTTATTAAAAATTTAATGTATATGCAAATGAGCTGTGCATTGAAGAATAATGTAAAGTGGAAAAACCTGATAGTAATACAGTTTCTACAAGACTGTGCAAACAAGTCCATTTGACATGAAATACACTCTGAGCATGAAAGACTATTTAGAATTCAAAGTATCTGGATCGGGGTTTTTTATATATATAATTTTGAATAAAGATTGCTTCTTATCACTTTTAACATTTATAATGAAAATGGAAATTTCTTTTTTCTTGATTGGGCATCCTTTTAGAGTTCAAAAGATAGTAATTTTCAATGCAAAATAGCTCTCCAGACTGGGGTGCTGCTCTTCGACTATCTCCCCAGTACCCTTACGGCACAGGAGACCTTTTGATTCTGCATGGACAACCAGTTTGCAAAAGGATTGAAAAATCTGGTGCTCAGAGCTGTGAACAGTTTGCTTAATTATACTCTGATATGTTCTTAAAGAAACTTAATGGCTTTTAAAAAGCTGTATCACAGTGGATCAGTGTGAAGACCATCCTTAGGATATACTGCTTTATGAAATAAAGAGCTGAGCTGTCTCCTGATGGTACCTTTAACCAAAATAACATATTCTTGGGAGACTCTGTTAATAACCAGTGTACTACATAAACCTCATATGTGGAACTATGAGAGACATAGATCATCTGTGCATTACAAACTAAAGTCCATATCAGCTGTAACAGCTAGGAACAGTGTAGGGAAAAGAAGTGGATGTAAAAGAGGCCCCAGAAAAGGTGCAGCTTCAAAACTCCCACAGCCTAGAGAAATGAAATCATATCAGCCTGAAGGATGTGCTTCTGCTCGTGTGGGGAATCACAGTTCGGCTTGTAAGAGTTTATATTTGTGTTTGTATCTGCTTCTGCACAGAGCTATGTCAACCTGCTCTTCTGGTACCAGTTCTTCTGTGGGTTCTCAGGCAGCACAATGATAGATTACTGGCAGATGATTTTTTTCAATCTCTTCTTCACCTCAATGCCCCCTCTTCTCTTTGGAGTCCTGGATAGAGATGTTTCTGCAGAAACACTTCTAAGTTTGCCAGAGTTGTATAAGAATGGACAAAATTCAGAGGTATGTCTTGATTGCTGAAATAACTGCTTGATAAGCCAAAGGACTGCAGGTGTCTTGGTTTTGTGAGGAGCGAATTATAGATTTATTTGCAACCAAATGATCCATTTATGGTTTCTAGTTTATTGATGTTCACTAAAAGCAGGTATAATTGTGGCTGTCAGAAGAACTGGTAAGGAACATATGATTGAAGTTGCCTGCTGGAAGTGAGGCTGGGTGTTTGTTCCATAGTTGGAAGATGTAAATGGGAAGGTTTATTCTGTCATTAAATATATAGAGCAATCCAGTTTGGTACCAGCGTGCTGCGTTTTAATAAGTGATGTGCTAGCCCTCTGTTTGGTGTTTCTGATCTGAAGAAGAGATGATGGAGCAAATATGTGTGTGTGTATGTATATATATATATATATGTACACACCATATTGATGGAAAATTTCTCAGTGAAGGCATAAGGAGAAAACAGGATAAGAAATGTAACTAATTAGGATAAAATAGTTTAGCTGGTCCATGATTAAACTCTACTCAGATTTGGTGCTTTGAACAGTCTCAACCTACTGAAGAAGAAAAGCTTGCTAAAAGATTACAGCAAAGTGACTTGAATTGATAACCAACTTGACTGGCTTTTTTTCCTGCTCTCACACTCAGAAATACACCTGTTGATGCATAAAGGATTTTGTCACAGTTTGGTGTTTAGCCTGTTCCAGGCATGAACTGTTTCATTTAGTTACTTTTTTAACTGCGACTACTCAGTGTTGACAACACCCAGAAAATATGACATGTTTTTACCCCAGTTTGCCTATGAGGTTTCAAGAACCAGCCTGATATAAATATGTTTGCAAAAAGGACACATATACAGACATACATACCTGGTTTTGCAGATAAATACAGTACAGTAGCACTTACTCCCAATTGCCTTAATATTTTTAATATGAAATTATGAGATTGTTAATGAGCAAAATTTGAAATTATTGGAGTTTAAAATTGCAGGGTACTTAGGAATTTGCTCCTTTTCTCCTAATATTTACTTTCATTTTCCTGGACTGTGATTTTTTGGCACTGATGAACACTGGTGGTTTACACTGTGTTTAATGATGGTTTGAAAAACCAAGGCAAGAGAGTGCAGAATTTGAGGCTTTTAGGACTTTCTATCATTTTTCTTAGGAACTCTTGGACCTCACATATGTGCAAAAATATATGTTCTTTACCATTTTGAAGAGTTTATTGTTGTTGCTTTGGCATTTTGTCTGCATTAAAAAAACATGAGTCCAGCCTTTTGTCACTCCAATAACGTACCCCGCTCCACAGGAGCTGTGGTCACACAGGTCACTAGATAAGTATAAATATGCCAAGTAATCAAGTTAAAATGGTATAAAACAGATGTTTCCTTTCAGCACTGAAAGGAAATCTTACCAATTCTATAGCTCCGGTAAGAGCTTTGTTTGAAAAATGTTTGAGGAATGGGATCCTTTGGGGAGGTGGGGAACATTCATGGCATTCAGCTTATAAGACCTTTAGTTGACTGGCTAATCTTCCTAAGGTCTGTCTTTAGTCAAGGTCTGTCTTCAGTCAAGGTCTGTCTTCAGGTAACACAGTGAAAATGCATTTTCACAGATAAGCGTTTGGTCTAAATCAGCTGCTCAGGAGCCATTTACTCATGAAGAGAGACCCATTATCTAGAATCAGTAGTATGAATAGAAGAAAAACAGGCAGCAATTATGTCTTCAGGGCAGCCTGGAGATGTGTTTCCCATCATAATAACTCTTATCTGTAAATTCCTACAGATATACAACCTATCAACTTTTATTATTACAATGTTGGATGCCTTCTATCAGAGCCTCATTTGCTTCTTTGTCCCTTACTTGGTAAGTATCAGGGTCATTAATATTCTCATTTTCCTGTTCTCCTTAAAAAAACCAACAGATAAATTCACTTCTGAATTGTCAAGGTTCATCACAGTCTATCTGCCTTTTTTCTAGACCTATGAGGACTCTGACATAGACGTGTTTTCCTTTGGAAACCCTATGAATACCGTCTCCCTCCTGACCATTCTCTTGCACCAGGCTCTAGAAATGAAAACATGGGTACGTGCTTGACCTGTCCTGATCATTTTTACTGTTTTTCTGTTGTGAACGCAGCATACTGTATAGACATTGTGTTTTAGAGCCATCTACCTGAATTCCGGGTCAGAAAAAGTGGGTGGCAGATGCACTATTGGATATGTTCTTTCTAATCCGACTTTATATCCTCCTGTCTTACACCCCGAGTCTGTGTCACAATCATCACTCTCATTTTGCACGTTCTGCTTGCAGACCCTGTTCCACTTGGTAACGATGATTGGCAGTGTGGCGTTTTACCTGGTCTTCTCTGTGATCTACAATGCCTCCTGTGTGCTCTGCAACCCTCCTACCAATCCCTACTGGATTATGGAGAAACAGCTTTCAGACCCCACCTTCTATTTGCTGTGTCTTATTACCCCCGTCATCGCACTCTTGCCAAGGTTTGAATGATGCGCTGCTTTCCTCTCAATTTTCATTTCGTGAGTTTGTAGGCATTTGAGTGAAACAGCAGTAACGCTGTGTTATAGATATGTGGTATGTTGGGCACATGTGTTACACAGGGACAGGTGAGGAGTGTGGAAGTCAGATGCCCGAGTTCAACTTTCCAGTTCATGAACCATCAATTTATTCAGTTATACAGCCCTAAAGAATAATTTTATATCTATTGCTTTTGTTTTCCCACCAGGAAAACCTTTCTTTCTGGGGTGCTTAAGAAGGTTTACCAGTACAAATCTGTTACGTAATTGTTCCTTATTGTAAACACAATGTTGTTGAGCTGATAAAAACTACAGACTTTGAAATAGTCCTGTATGCTTTGAAAGTTACAGAATGTATTCTGTTTATAAGTACATTATAGTGCATTATTAGACCAAATTAAAAAACATGTTTATATATTAAATAATTTTCTGCAGCCAGAATTTTAGTTTTACTCTGTGTGACAAATCAGGTAGGTTAAAGATAGCTTTAACGGAGGCTGAATACTATTTGGAGAGGGATAGTTATTTTGATAGATTGCTGAGAAAGGTTGTTTGAAAAACACAGCAATTCTGTTCCTATATATGTATGTGGTAACCATACTGCTTTTAATACTTACTACCATAATCATTCTTTAAGCAGATATGCTTTGTCTGAGTTTCATTACTTATTTAAAATCTCTATTTGTCCTTGGGCAGTGACAGAAATGGTTGGTTTCACTGTCTTCCTAGTGTCCTTCTCATCCTAATTGTCACGTAGTGCAGCACACTGGCACTGGGAGAAACAGGAAAATATTTTTAGTGTCTGATTCTGCAAGTGCTTTAAGGCATTAGAATCTGAGCCTTAACTTTGTCTAAACAAGAACCTTTCGAGGCAGGTAATATTTCTCTTCAAATTATTATTTCCCCATTTTGAGTTGAGATACTCTTATGATTACAGGTTACATTATATAACTGCAGGTCAGGATAAATAACACATAGGTCTCATGTCTTCTAGGAAGGGCATCCTTTCCCAGTCTGTTCTGCTTCTGTGTGATTTTTGTTTTCCTATCAGCCCTTATTCACTGTGTCATTTTAGACCCTGAGCTTTCTACTGAGAGCTATGTCAAACATGTGGTTGGAGAACTTTTATCTCCATTTTAGGAATTCAGCAAGTTTAAGATTGTTGCTGTCTCAGCAGGATACGGAGCTTAAAGATTTGTATCTTCCTATCTTCAAAGTTGGAGAACTACAGTTCTTTCATGTAGGTACACCAGATTATGTTCTGCAGAGTCCTTCAGTTCACAGAGTATCTCTGCTATAATTTAGTTGTGTCAACGTATCACAGCAGTGGTGAAACCACCCTTTGTCAAAGTGCACTTAAGTTCACTTTGTTCATCTCACCACACTGCCAGCTCCCTGTCTCCTTCAGAAACCTTGGAGCCTTGAGATTCTGGTTTACTTGTAAGAAGCTTCTAAGATGTTTTGTTGACATCCTTGCTCTCCTTGGCTCTCCCTTTTGCTATTGCATTCTATGCTAGCTGGCACTTCTGAGACAGTGCAGGCGCCTGGTGGGAGCTTGCCTGTGCCCTCCCTGCACACAGGCTTTTCCTGGAGCATTTTGGAGTGCATCCTTCATGCATCCACGTCTCAAAACTGCCTCTGAACTTTATTTTGGGACTCAAACTGCACTGTGCTAGGTACTAAAGCTTTCAAGTCTGAGAAGAAAGGGTTCTGAATATCATGTTCATTCACTGGCAAGGGAAAGTACTGTGTCTCTGGAGGATTTCAACATATGAACCAGATCTGCTTCTCCAGCTATGGAAGGCAGGCTGTGGTCTGCCAGGAAGCACTGCAAAGGCCTGACAGGTAATTGGGTCTCACACTCTGCAGGGCTGCGGGAAGGGCAGAAGCAAATGAAAGCAGTTCATGGGATGAAATACACAGTTCTCCGTCCCTTCTCTGTCTTCCTGTCTGGTCCACCTGCAGTTTGCACAGAAGATACAGAGGACAGCTTGAGGGGAGAGAGGACAATATGATCCACACCAGATCTGCACAGCCAGACCTGATCTCTCTGTGGCTGTGCTCTTAGCTGCCCAACTCTAATTAGCAACTGAACAGTTCCCAGTCCTGAGATGCTATGGGATTAACCAGCCTGAGCCCAGGCACACCAGATATATGTTTATCCACTCCTACTTGTGCAGATAGGCCTGAGAAACCCATTGCCTTAAAAGACCTTTCTGTACTTTGTTTGGCTTGTTAGGTTTTTTAATCTTGTTATACTTATTTATGCATACATTTAGCAGCAGGATGTGAGGACAGCAGCTTTCTTAACACAGTTTCAAAGAGTCCCCATGTTTGTTTTAAAATGCATATCGAGGCCATCTATGTAAAGGTCAAATCCTATTAAAAAGATGCTTTGAAAGAGACTTGGTTTTCAGACAAAACTGACACAACATGGAGAGAGGCTGTGTGCTTTCTCACTGCTCACAATATATGCTTACATAAGTTCTCTGTTCTGCAAACGGGAGGTAGGACACTTTCTGGTTTTTACTGCCTCCTGAGCAAATACATAAGCCAAGGTTTTTAAATTTCTGGGTTCATAATATGTATTGAATCAAGATCCCTTCTTTAGCCTTTTTTAGCAGTGTAAATATAACTCCACCTCTTCAAATACTGCATCTCTTGGTAAGTTTCTGTGCATCGTTCTTACAGTGTTCATTAATCAGGTGGTTCTATTATAATTTATTTAGTATTTATCTACATGTAGTTGACTTGACATGACAAGGTAGGTGTATACTTACATGTTGCATTAAATCCAGGAGTCAACCCAGGTATAAGGTGTTTACTAGATGCCTGTAGAGCAATGGAAAATTAGCAACTGGATCCATGTTCTGTGATGCAGATTGTGGAAGGAACCCTCTAGTAAAATAATCCATTATTTTCCTGTTTCATCAGGTTCTTTATTTTTGCTCTGCGAGGAACCATTGGAACACCTCTGATTCTGAAGGCACAGCAACTCGACAAACTTCCTAAAGGGCAACAGGATCTTGAAATCCAGAAATTGAGATCAAGAAAACAACCTACTTCTGGTACACCTGTGACATCACCTACATCTAATTATGATCTTGACCAAAACATCAGCCACTTATGTGAGTCACCATTTTTACATCCAGAAGCAGCAGCGGTGTCTCACAGGGACGCAGAAAGTCAGAGGCTGTCAACCTCCAACGTGAATCATCTCAGGAAACAGACTCCTGAAGAAGGCTACTATTTCTTTAATAGGTGGGCAGAGGAAGAATCTACTGCTACAGACCCTTCAGCAGGACCTTTCTCTGGCCACTACCCCCTTGTACCCAGCAGGATAACAACTCCTGGACAGGACAGTGACAAACTGACTAAAGGTAATGAGAACAGTTTTAACCATGGAAGTCATCGGCGATCTGTTAGTGCAGTGACACTCTGAAGAAACATTCAGAAATGGGATACACAGTCCACGTGGAGAAGGATACTATAAGAAAAATAAAAAGTCTATTTATACTTAACCATGATGCTCGCTACAAAAGGAGACATGAGGAGTAGTACAATAACATCTCTAATATGTGACTTTTCCTAAGCGTGCATGTAGTTTGTCATTACATGACTTGGTCTTCCTGGTTTTGTCTCATTAGAGGAATGTCAAATGAGCATCACACAGTTTCTGAGAAATGCACAATTACTTTATTTCATCAAGGGATATTTTTTCTTTTACAGTAATTGGGAGTAATTGTACTAGTAATGTTTCAATGTTATTATGCTATTGAGGTAATAGAAAGAGAATCCATTCTATATTAAGTCTTAGAGCAACACATCCCACTCTAGCTTTTACTATCAAAATCTTAAAAAGACCTTACTAACTTAAAAATTACAGTTCTGCCTGGAAAATATGTTACCTCTTGGACTAAAGGTATTTGCAGAATAGCAGCATTGGAAAGAGATGACAGAATGTTCCAGGTTTTAATATATGGAATTCATCAGTATAACAATATCAAGTTTATAGTCTGTTTCCCCGAACAGTAAGCTCACTATTTTTATGCAGCCAGTGTTTTGACCCGATACTGTTAAGAAAAGAACAAAAGAATTTATGAAGTAGAAAAATGCAAATACTGAACTACAAGAACTGAGAGAATAACTCAGGGACAAGTGGAGTCTACTTCATACCTACAGAAGGAGATAGATTTAACAAGTCAAATTCAAGGACATGCGTTCTAGAATTCTAAAGTTGTCCCTGCTTTTTCATCTAGAAATTCAGTTTCTTCCTTACATTCTCTATATTATTACATAGTGTTGCTGCATTCAACCAAGTATAAATTATGTTCCTCCCCACAGTTGTTTACATTTAGTAGTTGATGGAGATCCAATAATGAAGATTTTTACAAGCAATATATGAAGGTCACTAATCACATTGCAGTAAGTAAATAGTGTATAATGACCAAAATATGCATAATACATTCATCCCTTTCAGTATCTCAGAGCAGCGAGATGGAGGGGGGAAGAAAATGTCACCATCATCACTATGTATTGCAATGCAATGAAAGGTGACTGGTATTTCTTATAGAAATGTTGACTACTAAGCCCATTTCCCAAGTTTTTCTTCACAATGTGGGGTGAAATCTGAACTTTTTAAAATTCAAGGCAACTGTGCTTTTGTGAATCTACCGCTGCTTCTGACTTAAGTAGGTTTTAAGCCTTTTTTTATACATGCCATATTAATTTGGCTATTTACCCTCACAATGTGTGATCTGTTTCATAACCTTATATTTAGAAAATACTAATTTAACTTCTGTGTGTTATAATAATTGCTGTAACTAAAGTCTTCAAGATGTTACTTTAAAGCAACTCAGGCAAAATTGAGTAGCATATCTGCCACTGGGATTTCTGGTAGCCAGAGCAAGAGCATACGTAGAGCTGTAATTGCTAAAGTATTAACTGTCAGCTGTAAAACAATTCAGAAAGAGATATTTTTGCATGATGTACAAAATGAAGGGAATTAGGCATAGCTGAGATTATTGTTAATGGAGTGTGAGATTGCTCAAATGTTTGCTCACTAGCTGGGAATGGACCTTGGGTGACAAGACTTAAGATGAAACCTTCACAATTCACAACCATGTTCTTACATTACGTGGTCCATTTCTATTGAGCTTAAAGAAGATACAATTTTCTTATGCATTTTATTACAAAATGTGAAGTGTTTTTGTAATAATAAATGTAATATGGTCATGATCTGGTGTGTTGTTGAGAGGACAAAAACAGAGGCAGAAGAGTGGTTTTCCTATGTCACTCATGAGTGGCAAACTCATGTTTTCAGAGGTCGCTCCTCTATTTAGTAGGCCATGCCATAGGAATGCTTATCACAAGAACTAGATATCAAATATTTCTGAATGCACAAAGGGACTTAGCATATATGGGAAAGGGCTGGACAAGTTATGCTTAAGCAAATCTAGAAGACCTGTAGACATTCCTGAATTCAAAGCACCAATTAGTTCCATGTTTTCTCATCACAGCTTCTGCAAAACAGTTCTACCATGCATTTTGCCCTGACAGCTGGGCTTAGGTTCAGGAATGGCATATAGCTAAAGGAGGGCCCTTTAAGAAGGGGAATGAAGGAAGGACTGCTTATGATCTCCTACAAAATTACCCTTAAAAGTGCTATGGTGATAGAGGCCTCACTATATTAAGGGATGAAATAAGTAGAAGACAGTCCGTAAGTCGCCTCCAGACTGTGACCAAAAATAGTTATTTCACTTAAAGGAAAGAATCCAGATTTGAATGGCTGCCTTAAGTAATTCTACAGCTAGACCTACAATCTGTTAATTCTGTTGTGGAAGATGATAACAAAACAGTTCAATAGATTCATTTTCTTGAAGATTTTGCAGCATAGAAGAAAAGCATTCCTGATCCTCAAGGAGAGAGAAAGCTGAAACAACCAGAAAAACAAAAAGGCAGCATCAGGCAAGACCTGGCCTCTGCATCCCAGCTGACTCTACAGCTTTACAAATCTGTCCCCTGATACCCTACCTCCTGGGTGACAGTGCTACCATCCCTCCTCCAAAGCAGATGCTGACATAGATCAGGATCTATAGTCACTCCTAATCAAGTGTGATCTTCCCTGTACTCTTGGGTAAGCAGTAATGATGAACTATTTCATGTTGAAAAGATGGTGAACAGGCACTTCCCTTTGATCATGAGCTGAAACCCCTTTGGGAAGTAGGATCTAGAGCTAAAAAACATGATTTTTTTTTCCAATGAAAATAAGCCTACAGTAAGAAAGCAATCCCTCCAAAGAATTTATATACAAGAGGGGAAGTGTATTTACTAAATGGGTTATTTAGACCTAACTGGAATTCAAACTAGCTTTTTTTTTTATTATTTCAATATATATTTAATAATACTGTCAAGATACATGTTCCATTACTTCTAATGGGAATGAATGCTTCACAACAGAACAGGAGTCTCACTTTTTAATGTATCCTCTGGTGATATTCAATATTTCATGTACTTGGACTATAAAACACTAAAATTAATGTGTTTTTATGGAATTACTGCATACTCTTTTTTTTTGGTCTATTATATTATTATAATAATACTGTATATGCAACAGTGCTTTGAGTTATATAGAGTTATACCTATGTGGCAAACTGAAGGTGGCACCTCATATAGAGGTGAACAGGAGCTGGCTTACCAGGTCTACTGGTTGACTAACAGATGCAATGACAGGCTGCTTGCAATGGTCAGTGAAGAGCCATCCATCGTGTTCTCAACAGAAGTAAGTTGTTCAGGTTTTCGTAATACAAGGTGCGGGAAATGCATACCCATTGTCTACACTTTGTTTGTGTCTTAGCACAGCAAGTTGGAGATGTGGTCTTTGAAAGTTACAGTTGATTATCTGCTTGATATCAGTAATAGCTGTTCAGTCTAAAATCCAGAATTATTCAGGTGGGGTAAAGGGAAGAATCCAGTTTGTTCTTTTTTCTTCTATCTCTCAGAAATACAAATTCAGGTTTTAAATTATGTAGAGTTAGGTTTGCATCGTGCTGTAGCACAGAAACCACTTTTCCCAAGGATGAATTACGTATATTTTGTCACTCTGTTGGCTGATGCTGCAATGTTTAATTCATTTGTTTGATTGCAGTTTGAGGTGGTGTGCCAGTACAGAGCTATTTGCTTTAGGGGCAAGGTGACTGCAGGCAGGATGTGGCATGATTAGGTACTTGTAGCAGCACTCATGAGTAAAAATATAAACGTGGATACAAGAGGCTCTTGAAGATAATGATCACAGAGGGTGGGATTTAGAAAGATGACCAAATAACACTGAAGATCTATAAAGTACTTTTGACATTGCTGGTGATTGGAACTTGCTGCAATTATCAGTACATGAGAAAACTGTGAGCAGAACTTGCTGCCCTGCTCTTTAATTTAACACCTGATTATTCTCAGCTGCATAAACAAGACTAAGACCGAACGGAGTCTGAATCATTATTTTTCCAAACACATCAGAGGGGTAGTTGTCTGTTTTCTGAAGACATTCAAGGCAACGGTCATTTATTCTCCATCCGCAGTGCAGCTACTGAAGGATGCTCCCACCTCCAGGCATACATTGCAGGTTTCTTTCCGTGTTAGTGCCCAAAGAACTTGAGTGGTTATTGTGTTCTTCAACAGGAAAGCAGAGCTCTGTAAAGGATCACCACTGTAACCAAAAGGTCAAGTTTTTGCTGCATGGAAACTGATTTTGACCTTGACTTCACAGAAATCAAAAGCTGTTGCTTTGTTGTTGTCATCCGCTCAACACCACAAAGCTGAGTCAAGATCTCTATGGGACTGGGGAGCAGTTTTGCTGCCAGCCTTGGGGGTTATTTCTCCACCACAGTTCATCGCCCTCATCATGAGGGTGGCACAAGAGCCACAGATAATCTCTTCAACTGCCTCAGATAACCCCAACAAGGAACTTGTCAGAGCTGTGTGTTATGCTTTCAATTGTTCAGATCTTGTTCTCCACAATGTGGAGTTGTTCTCCACTTTGCCTGCAGTCCCGGAAAGAGTTTGAAGCCAGCCAGAAAGCAAAGCTGGGGTCTGCAGTTGAATGCATTGGTTTAATAGCTGCTATGCTTACTGTACCCTGGGCTGTTCCGGTGGGTCAGCAGGTACTTCAGTCTTCCTGGACATTGTACTTTGCATAAGGTGGCATCCAAAGAACCTCAAATGGAAACAATGTATTCCAAGCACTGAAAACAATGTAAAATAAGTAGACAATACATTGGAAGATAAATCTAAACACAGCTGGACCTTCCTTTTGTATGCTGGTATTCCTCCCTGGTTTACTAACATTGTTCTATTTGAACTCAGACCATTTAGGGAAAACCTGTACCTTTATTTGTTGCAATTAAAAAAAAATAACCGAACAATCAAAACCCCACAGCAAACAAAAAAAAACACCAAAAAATGGACAAATCTGCAGGCAGGCCAATAGAGCTTGTTTAGAACCAGCTGGGTTCAACAGAAATCTAATTAGAGCCTTTCTTGGTTTGTTAATACTTCTGAAGAATTTTGTCAAGAGCAGCTACCATCTATACGTGCTCAGTCTGAAGTGTTCCTCTTTCGTAATGTTTAGGCAGCTTGAAGCCAGTAATGTCATGGTCTAAATCAAGATCTGAAGAGGAAAGCAGATTCTTCATTCTGTTACTGTGTACATGGGACAGGAGATGGTCTAATAAGTTCCATACCAGGAATGCACCATAATGATAAAGGAAGAACATGTCTAAGGGCTTCTGGAAGTTTCCAAACAAGCTTCTTAAATGACTTTTAGGCATTGTTCAGAGGTCACTCAAGGTTTGAAGTGTCTGTCTGACATGTTTTATAAGTAAAACTAGTTAGGCATGAGTCCCTGTGTGCTCTCAGTTAAGTGCGGAAAACTGTGAAGAATGGCCCCACACTTTGTAGTAGGCTAAAATGATTTTGCTTTTAATCTTCTTTCGAGTGGAGGTAATGCTCTAAAGATTCAAATAAGATTTCTCAAAAATTTTGAATGTATATAAATTATGGGAATCTGTTCTTAAGATCCATTGCTGCTTTTTATAATCTTCAATTTCACAGTAAGGAAGGAATATAGTCCAGAGACATCAAAGAGCCAGAATTGTGCTTGCAGCTATTAGTTCTCAGATAAAAAAAAACCAACCCAAAGCTAAAATTTGCAGGCCAAAGGAATGTAACTCTCCAGCGCCTTTTGATAAAGGAGTCCAAGCACACACCAAATAAATATTTACATCCTAATACTGATTTGGAATGCAGCTTATTTAAAAGGAATACTCTGGCAGCATGTGTGCATTTGACTTGCATTCATTTAAAACTTAGACTGATTTGCAGTTTCGTGAGATTACTCCACATTTGGTCATTTGTGATATATCATATTTTCACAGAAATGTATGGCACTTGAGAAGCTCAATGGAGAATCTGATCTCTTTGCAGTAAGGAGTTACAGACAATCCACATCAGCTGTTTGTCCTCCCAGGACTTTATCAACAACAACAAACAAAACTGTGAGAAATGGGATTAGTGGGGCTTGCTTGAAAAGAACCTGCTTATTGGGCTCACAAAGGTTCATCCACAATCCATCACTGAAATAAAGCTTTACTTCTAGTGTATAGAAATACATCACAATAATGGTAGGGATCCAGAGCAAGCCCATATGCTATGATAAATGACAAGACTTCCATGGTGTTCAAAGCATTATCAGAATCCATTTCATACCTCATCTGTTATTATAAGCATAAAATGTGCAAATGTTCTTCACTGCTGTAAATGTCAGCATGCTGGGGGCAAATGCTTTGATTTTCTATCAGCAAATAATGTTAAATTATATAGTGTTTAATCATGCTTAGTGAGAGTGATGAACTTTAAAGAATGAGTTTCTTTCAAATCACTCCATCTTCAGTTCTCCTGGAAATGGACATCATCATTTATAAAATCCTGAAGAAACCTTCCCCAGCCTGGAGGCTTCATGGTGGTTCAAGGCTGAGGGTAGAGTGCTAAAATACAAAACTATTTAGACATCAAAATTTTTTTGATTGAGGCAACCAGGTATTTGAGCATAGAATTTGAAAGTTAACTTTGAAAATCAGAACCCTCATATAAAATTATAGAATCATAGAATAGTTAGGGTTGGAAAGGACCTTAAGATCATCTAGTTCCAACCCCCCTGCCATGGGCAGGGACACCTCACACTCAAC